GACCAGCCGCTGGGGCCGTGAGGACACAGGTTTCCGCTGTCTGCGTCCCCGTCTGCGGCGGCTGTCACAGCAGCCCGCGCTGACTGGCACGGTTAGAAAGGCGGACAGGGAGGCGAGGCGCCGGGCCCCGTGGCGGACCCCGAGAGGCGGGATGGCGCTGAGTCCTGCGTCGATGTTTACGGCTGGGCTCTGCCCTGGAGGGGACGAGGAGGGAGGACTGCGCCGACCACCGCAGGGGACGGCAGGGCCAGCCGGTGGGGCCGGCGGAGGGCGATGGCCTGGGGCCCTCTAAGTGCAGTCAGGAAACACAACCACCCATGGCCACGCTCTGTGCCCCCGCTCTGCCGGGGGCCCCCTGTGTACCCCTACTTTACAAAAAGAAGCGACAGCTCTGCAAGGGGGCAGGGCGGGCCCAGGGAGAGCCAGAGCCGGGGCCCTCGCGGAGCCCGAGGTGTGAGTGGTGCAGGGCAGGTGGCTGGAGCCATGCGAGCGGCTTGGAGCTGGAGGTCAGCGAGGGGGCTCCGGGGCCGGCCTGGGCTTCTTTGCTGGCCTTTTGCTTTGTTTTGTTTTTAAATGACGCGGTCTCAACGGGCAGGGCAGCTGGGCGCCCAGGGCCTCTGGAGTGGGCAGGCCGCGACAGTAAGCGCTCGCTGGGCGGGGACCAGGTCGGGGGAGCGCGCCCCTTCCCTGACGTCTGAAGAAAACTGCCGTGGAAACGGGCTCAGGCCTCTCTGACCCCCGAGGAGCATTTCTGGGTCATGAATTTCCAGCCCATAAATTCCCCAGGTTCCAAGTTCGCAGCGGGCCGGGGGCGGCGTGCCCTTTCCCGTGGCAGGGCTTCCTGGCCCGGGGCCTCCGGCAGGCGCCTCTGCGCCGGGGCTCGGGAAGGCGGCCGCCGGACGGAGACACAGGGACAGGGCTCGGTCAGGGCGGAGCGCAGTGCCCGGAATCAACTCGAGCAACAGGGGGAAACTTTTTATTTTTCCAAAAACCTTTTGGAATGTCTGCACAGGGGGCGGGGCCACGGGGGGGCACGCTGGCAGGTGTGATAGTGTGGGCGCCCCCGAACGAACCGGCCCCCCGGGGTTCATTTCTCCTGCACGTTCCCCTGCTTCAGAATCACCGGACAGGGGGCCGCATCTGTGAAGTGGGGACGGGTTTACAAATCCAAGGCTGCTTCTTTTTTTTTTTTTTTTGGCAGAACATGTTTGGGCCTTAGCAGATAATATTATTTTAGCTTTTCCCCTAAAATATTCTCTCCGTATTTGGGCAAGGCCAGAGAGCAGGGGACTTTTTGTTTGTGTTTCCTACCGACTGCTGGGCTTTGGAGACGACGGCTCCCTGGGCCTCCCCCCTCACCCGGCCGTTCCGGCCGAGCCTGCAAGGTCAGCCCTGCGGGCCTCCCACAAGCTCCAGGCTCCCCGGCTGCGGTCGGACCAGAAATGCCAGTCCGTAAAAATCCTTGGCGGAAAGCCTCGCCCTTCACTCCACAGCTTCTTATCTCCGGGGTGTTTTCTGTTCCCTAGAGGTAAAGATCTGATGATCTCGTCTTGGCACGTCAGAGCTGAGTGCCCTCCACATTTTGCAGAGAGGAAACTGAGGCCCAGAGAGAGAGGAAGAGTACGTTTCTGGTTGAGCACACAAAAAAATCTCTTTCTCCCAACTTTAAAATATTGAAAAAACCTCACTGGTGTGACTCAGGGGGTTGGGCATCACTCTGCAGACCGAAAGGGCTGCGGGCCAGGTCCCCAGCGGGTCACGTGCGCGAGGCAACCGGCCGATGCTTCTCTCCCTCTTTCTTTCTCCCTTCCCCTCTCTAAAAAGAAATCAATAAATAAAACCCTTAGAAAATTTCCAATGTATAGAAACATTGGCAGAACAGTACAAGGAACACCCGTAGGCACCGATGGTTAACGCGACGTTGCCTTTGCTGTAACGCTTACCCTCTCCCCCTCACTCCACGGGGGCGTGTGTGTGTTCCGGATACGGTGGCACTTCACCCGCAACGCTCCAGCCTGCATCTCTTCCAGAACCATGATCGGGTGGTCACACTTCCGAAATTTCACATCCAATCACTATTGTTATCCGGTGCACATTCCGTAACTCAAATTCCTCTCACTGCCGCACCAACTATGCTAGTGTTTGTGACAGGCTGTTTGTTTTTATCTGAGAATTTGCCGAGGGTCACAGGTGCAGCTAGTTTTGTCTCCTAGTCTCCTTCGGTCCATGAGGGTTCTCGGCTATTGTTTTCTTTTGTCTTTGCCTTTGTCTTTCATGACATCGACATTTTCAAAGCATCCAGGCCAGTGGGTTAGCAGGAGGTCCCTCAATTTGGATGTGCCCGGTGGTTTTGTGCTGATTAGGTTCCCATTAAACTTTTTGAACAAGAACAGCCCTTCTCAGAGCCGTGACCCCAGGGAGCCCATGAAGTCAGTCCATCCCGTAATTGGTGATGTTGGGTTTACTCCATGAAGTTGGTGTCCCAGGTTCCTGCGTATCTTGTTCCCTAGAATTCTTTCATCCTATGGTTTTAAAAGAGATTTTATTTATTTATTTTTAGAGAGGGGAAGAGAGGGAGAAAATCATCCATGTGTGGCTGCCTCTCGAGTGTCCCCAGCTGAGGACCTGGCCTGCAACCCAGGCCTGTGCCTTGACTGGGGGTCGAACTGGTGACCCTTTGGTTCGCAGGCCGAGGCTCAATCCGCTAAGCCACACCAGCCAGGCTTCATCCTATGGTTTTAACACCTGTTTAGACGATTTTTATCAGTATTATTATTATTTCATGGATCAGTTATTACCCGGATGATGGTTAAACAGTGAGTTTCAATTCATCATTCCTTCTACATTTATTATTTCATGTTCATTTTTAAAGAAGAAATTTCTCTTTTAAAACATTTTGTGAAGGATCAGCATGGACCTGTGGGTTTCTATTTTATCCAAGGGGCTAAATGTATTACTTCGATTATTATTTTATGCTCAAATTTGCTCCAATCTGACCGCTGGGAGACCCTTCAAGGCCCCCGTGCCAGCGCCTTTGACAGCCCATGGTTCTCCCAGCTCTTCTTTACTTCCTAGGCTCTTCTCGACTTTTCCTGAGCCAGCCCCGGGGCCACCTCTCTCCAAAGGGCCCTGGTGCCCGTTGCCGGGGAATGGTGTTTCCGACCCCGGAGGGCTGGCTTAGCTCTGGGCAGCACCGAGTCACCCCATTTGGCCCTTTCAATAGACGGAGCAGGAACGTGCTGCTGCTATTTTCCACAGCAATACTATTAACGACGAGCACCACAGGGTTCTTCCTCCTGCTGCATCCCAGCCTCCTTCACCCCGCAGGGAGTGGGCGCCGGGTCCTGCTGCCAGTCCTGGGGACCCGAAGTTTCCTCGGGACTGCTCTGCCCTCCCCAGGGCGGTGACACTTTTCTGGCCTGAGAGTCCCTCCGCCCGCCGAGGAAGTACCGGCACACGGGCTCCGCCCAAAGTCCCCCACATGCAGTCTCCTGCTTTTCTTTTTGAGCACGTGATCATTACGGGTGCTGTGCACAAATTCACTGGTTTCTGTTGGGTTCAGTTCCCCTAAAAATAAGAGGGCCTTTCGAAGTCAGACACGGTGAGCATTTATTGAGAGCGATCAGACTAGGTACTCAGGAGTCATTGTTTCAGACAGAAGCCCAGAGAAAGTTCCGATGAGGAAACTGGGCTTGGCAGTGATGTTTACGGAACAGGGAAGGGGAACCAGTAGGACAGCGTTTCTATCGGTGCAGATCACCAACACAGTGACTTTAATTCTAAACAGTGTTTTTAATGTTCAGTTCAGGTCCTAGCTGGTGTGGCGCCGTGGATTGAGTGTCAGCCTGCAAGTCGAAGGGCTGCCAGTTCAGTCCCCAGTCAGGTCACCTGCCTGGGTTGCAGGTCGGGTCCCCAGTAGGGGTGCAGGAGAGGCAACCACACACTGATGTTTCTCTCCCTTTCTTCCCCTCTCTAAAAATAAGTGAATATTTAAAAAAAAAATTTTTTTTCAGTTCAGTAGCCATCAGCCCAGTGGTTAGGCATAATCGCTTTCTCGTTATCGTTGTAAACGGCTTTTTGGGAAACAGGTCGCTTAGGCTCAGTCCGCAGGCGCCGCCGCCTGGGCTGACGCACTGGGGTTCGGGTAGGAGCCGCGGGGGGCAGCCCCTCTGGGGAGGCAGCTCGGCTCCTTTTTTAAGGGGTTCGCCTGTATAATTGTCACAGTTCCGTTTTAGCCCCTCCCCCTGCCCTCCTTGCTGGCTTACTTTTATTTTTTAAATGTAACATTTAATATTTGACGTGCGCTCAGAGATGTGCTCGATTTCTGATGCATCTGATCCAGGTGAAGGCTTCGTCCCTGTTTCCCCCAGAAAGCGAGCCTTAACTTCTGTTCCTTCCCTTTTGAAGTGCCCCCCTCCGCCGCCCGCGCGCTGCGCAGCAGGGCCCCCACGCGCCACCCGCCTGGGCTGTTCCAGGGAGTCTACCGGGGGCCGTGGCCTCGCACCTGTGAGCTGATAGGCCGCACCACAGGCCTTGAACAGCTCACAGGCCCAGGCCTTCAAGGTTTCCCTGACGGCACTATCGCTGGGTAACCGGTTTATTTTCACAAGAGCCAGGGAGGGTCTAGTGCTTGGGAGGGTCTCTGAACAGCTGTAGGAATTAGCGCTCCCGTTTCACAATGTGGAAACTGAGGCTCAGGTTGGAGTGGCTTGTCGTCCCGCCCGCGCCCCGCCCCGGTATCCTCAGGCGAGAGACCCGGTGAGAGCGCCGCCCGGGTCTCTGCCCTTAGTAGGCCGTTCGGCAAAGGCTCCTGCGTGCGGAGCGCAGGTAGACGAGCTCCTGGGCACAGCCCGTCGGCCAGCGGACCGGGGCGGGGCGTATGCAAAAAGTTCTCTAGGAGGCCGCGGATTGGCCGAGCGGACAGGGGCGGGGCGCGCCGAGAACCCAGGGCTGGCAGGTGAGCCGCGGCGCGAGGAGGCGCGGCGCGCTGGTCCCCGGCGATGCCTCCGCTCTGGGCCTGGCTTGCCCTCGGCTGCCTGCGGCTGTGCAGGGGTGAGCGGCTGAGGAGAGCACGGGCCGAGCCCAGGGAGGGCGGGCAGCGGGGCCCTGGGGCGTGTCCTGCACCCCGACCCTCCCGTGGAGTCCTGAGAGAGCGTTGGAATGGGCACTTCATTGATTCCTCCAGGAAAAGGCACGGACGCCGTGCGGGCTCCGGGGGCGCAGACAGTAATCATGGCCAACGCTTCTTAATAAGCTGCCCCTGGCGGGAGGGATTCAGGGCTCCTGGGTGGCAGAGCCCTGCGATAGCGGGGCTGTGGGAGAGCCCGGAAGGCATGGGACTGGACTCCTGGTGCGGCCTGGCTGGGGGAGGTGGAGGGCCCTTCCAGGTGAAGGAGCAGCAGGGACAGGTTCAGGGCGGAGGGAGGTGGCATGCTCTGTCCTGGGAACCCCCTCTCGATTGTCCATCGGAGTGGCTGGAGCTTGGGGTGAGGGGTTGAGCACGGAGGTGAGGCGGCGGCCCCCGGAAGCGCGGCCCAGAACGTCAGGCCCTGGCTGCCCCTCCAGAGGAGCTGACTGCGCAGGGGGCGCCAGGAAGGGGCGGAGTGGGAGAATGCCCACCGAGGGGCATGTTAGAGAGCAGAGGGAGGGGGGGCTTGTTACTAGGGTTCAGGTGAGGAGGGTGCGGCTGGAGGGGTGCTTAGGAGGGGCAGTGGGGTTCTCGGGGACTGACCATCTGCTGCGGGGCAGAGAGAGAGAGGGCAGTGGTTCTGCTGTCCTGCCTGGTTCCGACCCGGGTGCCTGGGTGGGGGCGTGTATGGGCAGGCAGGTTCCTGAGGTGGCCTGTGGAGAGGGTGAAGCCCAGTGCCCCGCACCCAGTGGGTGCTCAGTAACTGCCCGCATGCATGTTGGGGGAGGGCAGAGGGTGCCCACGGGTGCGGATGGCTGCCGGGGCCAGATCCCGGGCTCGTGGCTTCCTCCAGGCGTGAACCTCCAGCCCCAGCTGGCCAGCCTGGCCTTCGCCACCAACAACCCTACGCTCAGCACCGTGGCCTTGGAGAAACCCCTCTGCATGTTCGACAGCACAGCAGCCCTCAACGGCACCTATGAAATTTACCTCTACGTGCTGGCCAACGCGGGTGAGGGCCCCGCTCCCCACCTGTGGCCGCGAGGGGTCGGACTTGTCTGCAGGGAGGAGGGAAGGAGGCAGCCCAGTAAGCGAGGACCCCTGCAGCTCCCCAGCCCGCCCTCGAGGCGGGGAGTCCTCTAGGGCAGGGACTGAGCTGCCCTGCTCCTGCCTGCAACCCCAGGGCCCAGCACAGCACTGGCTCGGATGTTCAGGGGTGTTTGATGAATCACCAAATGAGCGGCTGAGCTGGGGCGGTGGCCAGGGACCTCACTCCCTCCCCTGTCCCCACAGCCAGCCCCAGGAATGCCTCTGTGCAGGACAGCTCCAAGACGCCGCTGAGTACCACATTCCAGGAGACGGGGGGAGGGAGGACAGGCCCCTACAAGGCCGCGGCCTTTGACCTGACCCCCTGCAGCGACCTGCCCAGCTTGGATGCGGTGGGGGACGTGTCCCGGGCCTCGGAGATCCTGCACGCGTACCTGGTCAGAGTGGGCGCCGACGGGACCTGCCTGTCCGACCCTGACTTCCAGGGCCTCTGCAATGCGCCGCTGTCGGCAGCCACGGAGTACAGGTGGGTGTAGCCCCGCCGCGAGCCAGGCGGCCGTGCCCCAGCCCGACTCGGGGAGACTCAGAGCCAGTGAGTGTGAGAGGCCGTGTGCCTCGGGGGCCTGCTGTGTGCCCAGAGCGTCCGGGGTGCCCGTGAAGGGCGTCTGGGACGTGTGTCTGCGCACAGCACCGCTCAGCCAGCACGGCCCCCGCTCGGCTCAACGCTCTGCCGCCTTGAAAGTCTCCATTTTTTAACAAGGGGCCTGAATTCTCATTTTGCCTCGGACTCCTCAAGTTATGTGCCTAGATTTCCCTTGAGAAGTCCCCACTCTCTCCCCAAGCCCAGCCGCCGACTCCCTCCCCGTCCCTGTGGCTGGGGCTCGCAGGACAGGCGGAAGTCATCCTTGCGCTGTCTCCTTCCAGATTCAAGTACGCCCTCATCAGTGCGTCCACGGGCCTGGTGCAGGACGAGACGCTGTGGTCGGACCCCATCCGGACCAACCGGCGTGAGTGGGAGCGATGTGGCACAGGAGGGGGGAGGGGGAGGGGGTCCGCAAGGCGGCCTGGGGAAGCAGACTCGGGCTGTCACCCTGAAAACTGCCCCCAGACACAGGCAGGCCTCTGGGTTACGGTATTTAACTTATTTGACAATACTGTAACCCAACGCGTCATCCTCCCGGCTTCCTCCCTCGAGGGGCAGGATTGCCCGTGTGGGGCTGGCTGACAGGTGGCCTCGTGTCCCTGGGGTCTGCCCGCCGCTTTTCCAGCCCTCGTGGTGCACGTGCATCTGTGGGGCGCGCGGCCTGTCTTGCGTTTAGAGCCCGAGCAGCCCAGGGCTGGCCCCTCACAGCAGCAAACGCGGGCCCCGGTCCCGCGACTCCCGGCTCTGACGGCGGCAGGGCCTGAGCCCTGGCGTGGCCTGTGGTCCCGCTCTGTCCCTCCCGAAGCCTCCACCTGAGGCCTCCACACAGACCGAGGTTTCCGCACACATCCGCACACAGAATCGTGTCTGCTGAGCCTTAGGGACTACAGTAGGGATTCCCGAGGGTACTTTTGATGGCACGTGACCCTAACTTTCCAACTCCCCTCCCGCAACACCTTGGACCCCAGAATGAGACTGCTTGGTCCCCAAGATGGGCCCGGCCTGAGACACAGCATCTTCCTGTAGAGCCCCCTGCCACCGCACAGTAACGGTACGAGCCAGTGAGCGGCTCTGGAAGGCGGCCAGAGGCACACAGCCAGCAAGCGGGAGAGGCGGGCCTGGGTGTGACCGCGCCGCTCCCTGGCCGCCCCTTCCCCTTCCCACCGTGGCTCGCCCATGCAGGACCACCCAGAGCTCTGAGTGCGAGGCCAGCTCCGGGCCCGGCTGCTGTGTGAGCCCGGAGGACCTTGGTCTCCACGCCAGAGAAGTGGGGAGGAGAGAGCGTGCCCCCCGCCCCGCCACCGCCCGCAGACCCCTTTGGGGGATCCGGGCAGAGCGCTAGGCCTGAGCTGTCGGCGGAGAGCATGCCCTCGGGGAGCAGGCGGACCTGGGGGCCGGGCGGCCTTGAGCAGGAGCCGGTCTCCCTGAGCGGCAGTGAGCCCGCTGTGGAGCGGGGGTCTCGTGGGATCCCCGCAGGACCGTGGCCGGAAAGAGGCTGCCTCACAGGAGGGCCCGTACATTGTTTGTTCACTGAGTTCCAAAGGGCAACCCTGGCCAGCGTGGGGGGCGTCCGGGTCCGCCAGGCTCCAGTCGAGGGGCCTCCGCCGCCCCTTTGCTGTAACAGTTTGCAACCTGTGTCCCATTCGTCACACCGGAAGCCTGGGGTCAGTTTATAATTTAAAGTCATGGAAAAAGACAGTTAAGGGGAAGTGAGCAGCCACACACAAGGCAAAGTGGGGAACTGGGATGCGGGACAAGCTCCTCAAGGCTGGGGGAGGGGGCTGGCATGGAGCTGGGTCCCCGCTTCCCCCGGGACCCCGGGGCTGGGGCGACCGTGCGTCCCGGGGAGAGAGCTGAGGGCGCGGTGTCTGGGAGTGATGGGCCTGCGTCCTCCAGCGTCCCCGTACTTGGCGATCGACACGTGGCCCGGCCGGCGGAGTGGCGGCATGATCGTCATCACGTCCATCCTGGGCTCCCTGCCCTTCTTCCTGCTCCTGGGCTTTGCCGGCGCCATCGTCCTGAGCCTCCTGTGAGTACCCGCCGGCTGGAGCGCAGGACTCGGGGCCACACTGGACACGTCCCCCGCGAGGGTCTTCTAGGCAGGGGATGGCCCAGCGGGCGAGGAAGCCACTTCCACCGCCGGCGGGTGGGGTTGGGGAGCAGGGGCTGGGCCTGGGGCGGCCAAGGCCACAGACGGAGGGGAGGGGTGGGGGGCGTGGGCAGATCCCCATCTGACACAGTTAAACAGCCTCAGGTCCCTCTTCTGGAAAGTGCAGACACTGACAAATGTCGCCCCCCCCCCCCCAGCTGTGAGGGTTAAGTGGAATAATCCCTGCGGAGCCCTCGGGGCAGAGCCCAGCTCCAAGCAAGGATGGCTCTTGTTGTCCTTGTGATTGTCCCCACTGCAGGACAGATGGGGACACTGAGGCCTGAGGGAGCAGCGTGGCCCAAGTGAAAACAGAGGTGGGGCCAGAGCCCCGCCCTCTGACTTCACGCACAGACCTTGTTTGTGTCCCGTGAGGATTAGGACTCGCGTCTCCTCGCCGTCCGGCACAGTGAACAGAGGTGCCTGGCGGGGAGACAGACGCGCGCACCCCCCGCTAGTCCTGGGCGGGCTGAGCGGGGCGGGGGGTGAATGGGCATCCGCAGGTGCTGCGGGCGCCCGGAGGAGGGCAGGGCAGGTCCTCCGGGGGCATCAGGGCGGGCTGCCTGGAGGAAGGAACGGCAGGGGCAAAGTCTCATCAAGACTGGGAGACAGGGATGGATGGCAGAGCCACATGTGTGTGCTTCTCAGCGAGAGGGGGAGCCCCGGGGGGCTTGGAAGGTCAGGAGAGCGCCTGTCCCAGGTGGGGAGGGCAGTGGGGAGCAGATGGAAAAGCTGCTCTGTGTAGGTGTAAAAAAGTGGACGGTAGAAGCGAGCCAGGCAGGGAAAGACGGGGTGGGGGGTGGGGAATGGGTTGGGGAGGGGGAGGGGGTGGTGACCTGGAAACCAAGTTGCTTCTTGGCATTTAAATTAGCAACAACACAAATATTAGACAAGTTCAGCCCCGGAGCAGCCAGGACCGGGTTCTAGGTCTCCCCCTGCCCGGGGGGGCGGGGGCAGCACCCTGTCTGGCTGCGCAGGCCCTGCTGTCTGACTTGAGCCTGGCTCTTCCATTTGTCCTGTCACTTCTGGCTCCGGCTGCCCCGCACTCCTCACGGCTGCCCCCGGCACTGCCCAGCCGTTCCTGTCAAGTGCCCCGAGTGCCTGTCTGTGCCCACACGCTCCTCCCTCAGGGCCAGACTGACTGCCCCCTCCTCCAGGAAGCCCTCCTGTGTCTCCCACCTGTCTGCTTCTGTCTGCTCCCTTCTGTGGTCCGTCTCCCCACACAATCTTATCCTCCGAGTGTTCTGCTCGTGATCGAGCCTGCAAATTGCGCACATAGTTCCAAAAGGGTGACACCTTCCTCATCCTGGGACTTGGCACACGGCAAGCGCTCTGGGAAGTTGGTGAACGAATGCCCAAGAGGGCCCCTGCGGAGTCCAAGCAGGCGGCCCCCGCCCGGCCAGGGCGGTTCGGCTCACCCTGCGCCCCTGACCCTGGCTTTCCTCGTTTTCTCGGCCAGCGACATGGGCGGTTCTGAGGGGGAAGCCACGCATGACTCCCAGATCACACAGGAGGCCGTCCCCAAGTCCCTGGGGACCGCGGAACCTTCGTACGCGGCGGTGAATCGGGGGCTGCCCCTGGACAGGGCCGAGGTGTACCGCGGCAAGCTGCAGGACTGAGCCGGCTCGGCCCGGGGCCCTGCCCGGGGCCGGGCGGCGGGTGTTCCCCTCCCCCAGCCCCACCCACGGGGACGCAGGGCCCGTGGCCCAACTGCAGGAAAACGTTCAATAAAACCTTCCCAAGAATTTGAGTTCAGTAAAGACGCCCCAAACGAGCGACTCCAGGGGCGAACGGGTCTGCGTGTGCTGAGGGCAGGGGCTGTTTCTCTGTGGCGGGGGGTCAGGGGACTCATTTTCAGGCAAAGCCAAGGCGCGGAGCGGAGCGCTGAGGCAGTCAGGGCTGTCGGAGCCCTGGGGGGCTGGGCCTCGCCCGCCCGAGAGCAGCAGGAGTCCTGCGGGCGCAGCTGCGGGTGCATTTGCAGGCCCTCGTCCCGGTGCGCGGGCTGCGAGGCGCCGCGGACAGTCCTGAGCGTGGCGCTGCTGGCCGGCACCGTGCCGCCCCCGCCCCCGTTCCCTCCGGGGCTCCGCTTCCTCATCTGATGTCAACGGTTCATTTCAAGGCCATGCAAGCCTGGGCTCCTTCCCGGCTTCCTGATCCAGGGGGAGGACGGAGAAGGTTGTGGGACACATAGGAGGGGCGCCAGGTTCACCGGACGGGGCGGGGGGGGCGCGAAGGGGCTTCCAGTCCCCGGTCTCTGCTCTTCTCGGATGACTCAGTTCTGCCTCCGAGCCAGGTGGGAAGACCGCTTCCCCGTTGTGGGACAGGTCATGGGCCCACTTCCCGTCGTGAAAGAAGAGGTGGTCAGGGCAGGGGTGGTCAGGGCCGGAGTGCAGGCCGGGAGGCTGACGGCGCTCAGGGGCACGGTGAGGGGGCGCTTCAGGGGCACACACACGAGAGGGTCCCCCGGAGGTGGGGCAGGAGGCAGAACGTGGGAGCCCAGAGGACCGAGTGCTTGGGCTGTGCAGACAGGAGGCAGGAGTGGGGCCGCTGCTGCCAGGGTCGGGGGTCGGGGGCGGCCAGCCTGGGTGCGCCGGGGGCCAGCTCCTGGGCGCTCGCTCTGGGCCTCTCCTGGGCCCCAGAGGCGGCCTGGGGGCACTGGAGTTGCCCTTCCCCCTCCCAGGCAGCCTCCCCGGAGCCCGGCCTCCTCCGGGCAGCCGGCCAGCCCTCCTCGCAGACCCCCAGCCGCAGACCCCCAGAGGGCAGCGCCTCCTCCAAGTCTGCCCTTGTCAGGAATTTGTGCCGGTTTGCATTCTCTGTTATAACATGCCTGTGTTTATTTTACTTTTTAAGTGGAAGTGAGATTCACATAACATAAAATTAACCATTTCCAGCGAACAACTCAGTGGCACTTGGAACGTTCCCAGTGCTGAGCAACCACTATCTCTAATTTCAAAACGCTCTCCGCACCGAGGGGAGCCGGCACCTGTTCAGCGGTTCCTCCCTGCCTCCCGCCCCCACCCGAGCCCGTGGGTCCTCGGCCCTGGACACCTCCCGCCCCAGAAGCACGCGGCACGCGGCCCTCGTGCGGCCCTCTCCCTGAGCGCCGCGTGTCCGGGTCCGCTGCACTGGAGCGCGCGTCTGGGCTTCGCTCCTGTTTGTGGCCGAGTAACATTCCATCGTCTGGGCCTGTCACTCACGGCTGATGGACATTTGGGTTGTTTCCACGTCGGGCCACTGTGTCACTACGTGGCCACTTAGAACGGGCCGCTTGGGATAGGCAGGTGCGTGTGTACCTGTTGGCACACGTTTTCAGCTCTCATGGGTGTACATGCAGGGCTGGAATTAGTGTGTCGGGGGCCATTCGGTCATTCTCTGGGGAGCTCTTTGAGGAGCCACCAAGCTGCTTTCCACAGTGGCTGTGCCGTTTTGCGTCCCCACCAGCCGCGCGGCCTGTATGCATTTTAACAGCAGAGTGTGCCGGAGTCCGGTGGTCTCCGGGAAGGCCCCACCCTCCCACTAAGGGCTTGGGTGTCCCTCGGCCCGAGCCCACCCCCATGTGAGAAGCAGGACCTCCAGGTAAGCTGAGTCCCCCTCTGTCAGCAGCAGCTGCCTCCCACGGCGGAGCCTAAGGAGGACTCTTGGCCTGCGTGCGTGTGTAACCGGCCGACCGCGTCCGCCGGGCCGGTGGTCCTGGGCGGCACACCCGCGGGGCTCTCCAACCCGCTGGGCTGGGATGGTGTTGGGAGCCCTGGGACGGGCTGAGTCGAGGGAACGCTACAGAGAAGGCAAAGGACAGGGCCCTTTCCGCTTTGGGGACAAGGCGGGAGGCATCCGCTTTCTTCCTCAGTGCCAGAACCTCGCTGTCACCGAGATGGGGACAGTGCTACTCGGTCCCTCCTAAACCCAGCCTTGCGCTTCTTCCCCCAAACAGCCTCCTGTCGCTCCGTCAGACGCAGCCCCACGCAGCGCAGCGCCGCGCCAGGGGCAGGCTCGCCGCTGTCTGTCAGTGGGCGGCTTTGGATTCTGGGCCGTGGGGGCGCAGGTCTGAGCGGCCTTCCAGCCAGCCCCAGCCAGCTCTCGCCGAATGAGCCAGGCCGGCGGGCCGCGGTGGGCGGCAGAGGCTGGGCCAGCTCGTGGGCTCTGGGCTGGGCGCGGGCTTCACAGAAACTTCCAGGTATAAATACCCACGGAAGCCATCGCTCTGGCTCCCTGCTCAGGCTGGCGGGGCCCTCCTCCCCCGGGGCTGAGAGGGCAGGGCCCTCAGAGCTGAGCGCCCGCCCACGGGGACGCGCCTCCTTTCCCTCCCAGCCCCAGCAGGGTTGGCCGGAGGGTCACTGCAGACAGGCTGTGTGACTGGGGCGAGGGAGCAGCCTCCCTGGGCTCCCCTGGCTTCCTGAGGGCCACGCAGGGGCGTTTCCAGGTTGGGGCCGCGACAAACAGAGCGTCATGAACATTCGCATCTCCGTAGGGACATTGCTTTCGCTTCTCCTGGGTGAATCCCCAGGTGTGGGATGACCGGACTGTACGGTAGGCGTATGACTCATTCTTCAAGAAACGGCCAAATTGTTTTCCAAAGTGCTTGTACCATTAAAAAAATAAAAAAAACAACTTTATTCTGAAGTACTTACAGATTTGCAGGAAGTTGCAAAAAAAAAAAAAAATACACAGGGAGGCCCGTGCGGCGTTCACCCCGCCCTCTTGCTGCGAGCATTTCCCCGAACCGCGGCTTAGTTGTATCAAAAGCAGGAAGGTCACGCCGCCGGCGCCCTCCACAGGGCAGATCCCTGTTTCTCCAGTGTTACAAGCTCTGGGTGTGCGTGCGCGCGCCTGTGCCATTTCGTTGCCCGTCTAGATTTGTGCTGCCACCACCACAGTCGAGACACAGAACTGATCCATCACCACAAGGCTCGTCCCCACTGTCCCTTCACAGCCACGCCCCCTCCCCCAACCCCTAACTCACCTGGCCCCCTGCAATCACGGGTCTGCTCCCCATCTCTACAACCTCATGATGTCAAAGTGTTATAGGGATGAACTCGCACCGTTTGTAACCTTTGCACAACTTCCTCAAGGCGCACCTGAGTTCTCGCACACGTCAACAGTCCTCTCCCTTTCCTTGGTGACTCGCGTCCCAGGACAGAAATGCTAGTTTCCCGTTCACCCACGGGGGCCCGTGAGGTTGCTTCCCATTGTATGCTGTTATGACTACAGTTTCTACGGACAGTTGGGAAAGGTTTTTACATGAACATAGTTTTCATTTTTCTGGGACAATTATCCAAGAATGCTATTGCTGGCTTGCACAGGAAGCTTGTTTACCTGGCAAAGAAATCGCCAAGCCGTTTGTCCTGGCTGGAAGTCATTTTACATCTCACCAGCAACGTGTGGGCGACCCAGTTTTTCTGCGTCCTCGCCGGCACCGGTGATACCGCGGGGTTTTAGCGCAGCCCCTGCGGTGGGCGGGGCTGGCCCACACTGTACCCTCACCAGCAGCGTGTGAGCGGTCGGTTCGTGCCCACCCCCGACAGCACGGGGATGGCCAGCCCCCTTAATTTTGGCCGCCCTAGTGGCCTGCGCTGGGGTACCCCTGTGGCTTTGATTCGCATTCCCCAGTGCGTGATAACGTTGAGCCCCTCTGCAGGTCCTCATTGGCTCGCCATGGATCTTCTTTGATGAAGCTTGCGTTCAAATCTTTTGGCCAGTTTTAAGAATATCGGGTCCCTTGTCTTCGTATGATTGAGTCGTGACCCCTTTCTGTATCCTAGGCTCGGCTCCCAGTCAACACAGGCTTTGCCAGTCTCTCCCAGGCTGTGTCTTGCCCTTCTGCTTTCACAGGTGTCTGTCCCTCACCCAAATCTCTTTCTCTTTACAGTCTCATCACGTGCTGACACGCGTCCACTGTCGCATCCCCCGTCTACACGGCGGGCTCCAGGAGGGCAGGGGCTTGTGTGCCTGCCGTGGCCTCCACCACCAGCGCGGGGCATGCTCCGGCGCGGCCCCCGGCCCCAGCGAGGCGGGGGTGGGGTGGGGCGGGGCGGGGTGGGGCAACAGCATGGGCTGGCGAGTGGAGGCCTGGGAGCAGTGCTCCGCCAAGGCCAGGCGGCTGGGTCGGAGGCCTGAGCGGAGCACGGGGGGCCGGGTGGGGCTGGGGTGCAGGCCCACCCAGTGGTGGAGTAGGAGGGCCAGGGAGCCTTTTCCAACGTGCACCGGCCAGGCTGCCCCGCTCCCTTCTCCTGCCGGCAATGCCACCTGGCAGGTCCTGCAAAGCCCGTGCCGCCCAGTGCCTGCGTCCCAGTCCTTTGGCCGCCTGCCAGGGGAAGGGGCAACACCGAGTGTCTGTGGGAAATGGGTGGGAGGTGTGTGTGTGTCCAAGAGGCTTGCTTGACCCCTTGTGCACGAGCGTGTCTGCAGCACGCACGGGTAGGGAGGGGCTACGCGCCCCGTGCGAGGGTGTGTGGGGTGTCGCCGGCAGGGCGGGCGGTCCCGGGCTCTCCCGCATGCAGATGGCGCAGGGTGTCTGTGTGTCATGATGAGGCCTCTCCTCGCAGCAGAGCGACGAGGCCCTCTCCAGGATGGGCGGACGGTCAGCCGGTCCCCGGTGGCTTTCTGTGTACCCTTTGGAGCGTCCCTCCTGGGGCCCCGCCTGCGACTCCGTCCCTCTTCCCTTTTTGGACAATGTCAGTCCCTTCTCCTGGCCACAGAGTGCCTGCCAGCGGTTCCCAGCACATGGCCCACTTTCCAGCTTGGCCTAACTTTCCAGTTATGGTGAATCCTCTCTGTTTTCAGTCTGTTAAAGGGGACTAACGGCACCCAGTGCAGAGGGTGCCTGTGGGGGCAAGTAAGGTGTGTGTAGGAAGAGTTTAGCATAGCGCCTGGCGCATAGTAGGTGCTCAATAAAACATGGTGTGTACACACACACACACACACACACACACAGACGTGCATGTCCTTCTACACACACCGGTGTCTCACTGAGCAGCCTGGCCATGACACGGACACGCATAGTCACTCCTTTGCTAAGCACACACAGAGAAAACCGTGTTCCCGTCGTCCGGGTGGAGGCGGCAGGCACCGCTGCACCTGCGGCGTTCAGCAACGCGGGACGCACACGCCTGCCCAGCAGTGCCGCGCCGGCCCCTCATCTGCCCTGGGAATGCTCAAGGCAGCCTGCGGCAGTGCCCTGGGTAATTTTCCACAACTTGAGAGACGCCGTGTCTTGCTCGGAGGTGCGGGAAAGGGGGCGCCGCTCCTGTGGCGTCCCTCCCGCCGGGCTGAGTCTTTGGGCGGAGGGGCTGGGGCTGAACTGATTGCTGCCCCGCCTGGGGCGCCGCTGTGCCTGGGGTGGGGCCTCTAACGGCCCCTTCCCCACAGGGTGGTGTCTATCAAGGCCCAGCTGGGACAGCGTCTCCTGCAGGTCTTGGGGCCGTCACTCAGCACGGGCCTGGGTGATCCTGAACTGAACTGTACTGGGTCTCAGCTGCCACCGGGGGTGGGGAGCTGCCTGCAGTGGCGGTTAGATGTGCGGGCTGGGACCTGGGACGCCCTGGGCAGCCTTGCAGGGCCTCAGCTTCCTCCTGTCAAATTAGAATAATGACCTCCATACGGTTGTTCTGAGGACTAAATGCCGGAACTCGTGCCAAGTGCCCAGGCAAGGGCCCGGCACCACGTAGGAAGCCCTCGTTGGCCTTGCTCACTCCCGAGCCACTGGCCCTCTCAGCCTTCTGGGCTCCAGGCCCCCAGAAGGTCACAGGCTGCTGGAGCCCACCAGCACAGGTGGCTTCCCCCACAAAGGGGAGGCTTCTGTGTGGGCCGGGGCTTGGGCAGAAGAAGTGGCTTTAGATCCTGGACAGGAAGGCTTGTCCAGGGCAGGGGAAGGCTTCCAGCGGCAGGGCAAGGAAGGAGGAGGCCGCTAGAATAACATGGCCACCAGGCACACTACCCCAGCTCATTTAGTTCTCGGAACTGCCCCAGGAGGCAGACACTAGCATCGCTCCTGTTTTACAGACGCTGAATGTGGGCACTAATGGGCGACAGGTCACAGGGCGTGACTGAATCGGAACCCAAGATGACCCCCATTATCAGTCTCCTAGAAGAGTGTTTCTTGACGAGGGAAGCACACCAGGAGGACACTCACGCAGTCATAAATAAGCATTTGGGCATCAGTCGTGTGCCCTGCCCTGTTCTCGCTTCTGGGGACCCAGGAGTGAACTTGACAGACAGGAGCCCGGCTCTCACGGGAAAGGAGAGAGAAAACAAGTGTACCTCATTCGCAGAGTGATAAGAACTCTGAAAGGAGAGTACGCGGGGCTGGGGGAGGGGACTGGCGGTTCTGGGCGGGCGGGGATCTTTGGGAAGCAGGGCGTGCGTGGGGACCGGAGGACGGCTAGGGTGCACGAGTGCGGGGCAGGGGTGCTGTAGAGGGGCGCTCCCGATCGCACTGAGTGCTCGCCACGCGCCACCAAAGTGCGCCCGAGCCTGCTTCGCAGATGAGAAACCTGAGACACGCGGCGAGCGGGGGACACATGGGGTTCAGACACAGGCTCGGAAGCGGGTGGCCTCTTTGCGAGCCCGACGCAGCAGCACCCAAACGCCGAGGGGGCGGCGCCGGCTGGAGGCTCGGGAAGGAACGTGAGTCCTGGCTCCGCCCACCTCCGGGCCGTCGCCTTCGCGGCGGAACCTTGGCGCGGCGGGGGAGGCGCGCGGGGGAAGGCATTGCGGCGGCGCCGCGCCCGGCCGCCGTGGGAGTCGCGGCTGAGGGCGCGCGGCGTCCGCGCCGGCTCTCGCCCGGGTGCGCGCGCAGCCCCCCCGCCCCCACCGCAGGCCGCCCCCGCCCGGCCCCGCCCAGCGAGCGGCCGCCGGAGACGGGGGAGGCGGGGGAGACCCTGACCGCTGAGCTGGAGGAGGCAGTGGGAGCGGGAGCTCCGACCGGCGTCTGGGCGGCGCCGCAGGTGAGAGGCGGGTCGGATAGGCCCTGGGGTCCCGGGTTGAGAGCCCGTCGGGACCCCGAGACCCTCTGCGTCCGCTGCGGCCACTTCGGGCCCCTGACACTCTCGGGATCCCCGGCCATCCCAGCGACCCCGGCAGCAGACTTAGGTTCCCAGCAGCTCCCCTTTCCCTCGAGAACCCCAGTTTCCGAGATCCCCTCGGGGTCCGCCCCGGCTCCCTGTCCCTGTCGGGGGTTCTCGGCCACCTCTGGCTCCTGCCTCTCTTAGGACTCTTCGAACCCCGAAACCCTTCAGGATTTTCCCGAAACTCCGAGGTCCCCAGACGACCTCCCACCGCTACAGGGCCCCGAGACCCCTTAGGACCCTCGGTTCCAGAAACCCTCTAAAGATTCGCTCAGGATCTTTGAAACCCTCCCAGGTGTCCCCGCCCCCAGGCCTCCTGGGAATCCCCCTGGGCCGCGCAGGCCCCCGGGGCCATTTCTCCTTAGACCCCCGGGTCCCTGGACCGCCTCCCCGTCCTCGGCTTCTCCCCTGCCCCTCTCCACCCCTTGTCTGAGGTTCGGTCCCCGTTTGGCTCCGGCTCCACGCTGGTCTCCAGGCGGGTTTCTCAGACCTGAGGCCCCTGGACCCGTGAGGCGTCTGTGAACGTATTCTGGGCTTTGTGCATCCTGGATGAACATGCGAATAAAAGAAGAGGCAAGTGCTAGGTCACCTGATGACCCTCTGTAACCGAGCAGGGGCTGTGATCTGAGCGCCCGCATTTGCATTTTCTGCTGCATTGAGGGCAGATCTGGGACAGTGTTTAACTTTTAATGCTCTTCGGTGAGACTCGAGTGGCCCATGGAAGCGTCTAGAGTCAGAGCTGATGGGGTGGAGGGAGGAAGAACAACGTAGGTCGGGGACTGAGGGGACGTGATGATGCTTTGAGGTTGTCTCCTGGTCTTCATTTTTTTCACGCCTGGAACTGACAGTTTTGTGAGTGCCTGATAGTTCTCAGGAGGTGGCAGAAGAGCGAGCGGGGGCTCAGGCCCTGCTCCCGGGCCTCTGCAGGGCGCTGAGGAAGAAAGGAGGTCGGTTTTCCTGTGGGGGTAGTAACAGTGCAGGGACCTTGAATTCAGCTGGGGTGGGGGCTGGATTCCCGGAAGGGGCGTTAAGGAGGGCTCCTGGAGGGGAGGAAGTGACAGGTAGCAGGTGGGCCGATTCTTGAAGGTTGAGGTTGAGAGGTTTGCCAGGGTCCTTCTGGGCAAAGCGGCCTGTGTGCAAGGGCAGAGAGGCCGCCGTGGCACACCAGGTTTCGGAGGCCGACAAGCGTGGCCGGGGCCTCCGTTCATCCTGGTGGTGAATGCGGAGGAATGGCTTCCTGTTAGGAGAACGGTTCTCGCGGTGGAGCTACACGGACTCTTAAATGGGGCGAATCCAGCCTCGTTCCTGGCCCACCCTGCCCTGAGCCCTGGCCCGAATCCCGGCTTCTGTCATTGGCCGGAGTCAGTGAGGACGCAGCGCAGGGCCAGAGGAAGAGGGGAGCTGGCCGGTGGAGGGGAGCGAGGGGGGTGCTCGGGGAGGGGCGGTGCGGCGGGGGTGGGGCGGGGGAGTGTGGCAGAGCCGGGCTGGAGCTGGGGGGCGGCCGGACAGGGGGTGGGCAGGGGCGTCGGACCCGAGCAGGAGCGGGTCTGCAGGCCTGGAGGGGGTCGGCGGAGGCTGGTGAAGGCTTAGGAGGGACCGAAGGTGGCTTTGTGTTTTTGGACAGCTGCTGTCTGGGCTGCAGGAGAACTGTTGGAGGGAGCAAGAGCACGTGGGAGACGGTGGCGGCCTTGACAGGGCGGTGGCAGTGCGGGCTCGGCCGCCTGGAGCCCGGCCGCGCTTCCCCAAGTCCAGACCCGAAAGGCTGGGGCTGAGGCCTTTGCTCTGTGAGACGACAGTGTCCCGCCTGGGGACTGACACTGGGGATTCCTTACGCCCTTTCCCGAGGCTTGGTCCCCTAGGGCTTCCTCAGGGTGACCGCCTGTGTGTCCGGGGGAGCCCAGCACCCGCGAGGGAGGCGCACCCGCAGCCAGTGGGGCAGGATGGGAGGGGCCGGTGCTCAGCTGTGGAGCGACACCTCCGGCCTGTGGACGCTGGGCGGGGCCGAAGGACGTGGAAAGCCCTTGAAAAACAGTTGAGTTCAGGTGCGTCGTGTCTGAAGCGTCGCCCTGGAGACAGCGTGGGGCTGCAAGCCGGGAGGGGAGTGGGCGGCGCTCAGCGGTGAGGCAGCTTGTGAGGACTTGAAGCAGCGGCGGAGGGAACGGCTTAGACAGAGACGTGGGATGAGGGCTGCGGGGGACCTGGGCTGGGGGCTGGACTCGGGTGTGGGGGAGACAGGACTGCGCTCAGGAATTTTTAAATGTATCTCATCGCATACAGAGGGTTTGGCCGGAAGCAGGCTGTTTTGTTTTTGAGCAGCAACACATTTGAGATGAAAACAAGATAGCTGTCCACGAAGAACTGACTGAGGCAGAAGCCTAGGGTTCCAGTTAGGAGGCAAAGACAGCGGCAGGCTTTGTTCTTTTCAGTGGCATCCCTCCTGCTGCTTCCAGCCACCCCGCGACGGGTGAGACACTCCTTTTGTGCAGATAAAGGGAATGGAGGCTCCGAGGCTGGAACGTGCCCCGTGCGGAGTCGGAGGAGGAGTACCCGGATGTGTAACTTCTCAGGCTGGGCCCTTTCAGCGAGATTCCGCATCTCCCGCAGGAGCCCGAGGTGTCCCCTTGCCAGGAGCATGATGTCCTCGTGAATGGTGGCATTGTTCCCTGCCTAGCCCTTGCCCTGGCTGAGGTGTGTGATAACACCAGCGGAGGGCAAACAGAAGGCTGTCCGGAGCTGGTCGTTTTGCCCGCGGCCCCTTCCTGCAGCCTGAGGTCTGCCAGCCGGTTTGGAGAGACGGCAGGGGCCGCTGCAGATCGGCCAGGCTGGCGGCGGTCACCCGTGCAGGTCACAGGCCACCGGGACTGTGGCGGAACGGTCGGTGGTAAAGGAGGTAGAGGGTGGGCGCTGTAGGTGAAGTTTGGGGTCACGGTGCACCAGGTGATGCCCCGGAGGGCGGCAAGGTGATGGAACAGGAGCCAGGGGTGAGTTCACAGTTTGCCCCCAACGCCGGGGGACCCTGACCGAGTCACTGCCTCTCCGAGCCTCACGTTCACCTCTGTGGCCCTGCTATCCTTTTAGATCCCTCCAGGCCTGGGACTCGGTCACTGGAAGCGGAGCTGGGGGTCTCCTTTCTGGAGCATCTCTCGTTCCCCCTGGCGTGGGGCCGCGCTGGCGCTCCCCGCAGCCGTCGGCCTCTGTGTTGGCGTGTCTGCCATCACTGGCTCGCCATTAAGGAACACGTCTGTTTGAATGTTGTAACGTGTCACAGCTGATGGACAAACTGTAAGCAGTTAATGACTTAGCGGTTGGCAGGGTTCCTACTAAAATGTTAGGTGTATTTGTTTGCTGTTCTGCGCTATGCTAGTATTAGGAGAAAACGCGCAAGACTGTATTTACCACCTTGGCTTCTTGAAAGGGCTGGGTGTCAGCCTTGGCCAGGCGAGTGGGGGAAGTGATAGTAGCCAATTCATAGGCTTATTGAGAGGATTCAATGAGATAGTGCTTGTCAAGTGCTGAGTACTTTTCCCATGAATCTAATAAGGGCACAAAAAGTGTCAGTAATTAATGTTGTATCTGAACTAAACGGTGACCTTTACATTTTTTATCCATGGTTGGTTGTTATTTTCTCGGTTTGTGCCCAAGCAACGCCCTTTGGAGGCACTGGGTTCAAGAAGCCAATGAACACATTTTGGTTATTACAGAATACGCATTTTTTTGCCCGTTGTAATTCATTTTGACAGAATAAAAGGGATCGGTTCGGTAGTACGTGGTCCAGGTTTTGCGTTTTCTGATATTAAAGAAAGCAATTCATTCTAAAGACCCCTCGGCAGTAGCAGCCGGGGCGAAGCTGCCCGCCCCATGGTCACGTTAGCTTGTGGCTCTGCTGGCCGCCTCGGAAAGCCGCCCGGAGGCCACTGCAGCTGTGGGACCTGAGCTGGCGGCTGGCGTGCTCACCGCGACAGGCACGCCTTGGCTAGGCGTTCAGCCCCCTGCAGCCTGTGCGGCAGTGCAGTCGGCCACAGTAGTGGTGGCCCTTCCGCGCGACAGATTTGAAGACAGGTTCAGGAGGTCTCCCAGTGGGGGAAGAGGCGTTTCCACGACCCCGGACGCTGCATTTTCCCCGCCGTGGGGCTGTGCTGCCACGGGTGGAGGGGCGGCCGTCTCTTGTGGTTCTGGAAGCTTACTCTTTGTGCGTTTGCACCTTGTTTCCAGCTCAGGCGATCTAGTCACCCTCAGCAAACTCTGAGGACACACGTTAACCAGATCCCAGGGGTTCATTGGTGGTGAGAGTGTGCTCGTCAGATGCCCTTGAGAAGCTTCCCAGTGATTTCTGCTTTGTGGCCCCTCCCAAGTCTCCACGGGAACCAGATCTCCGTGAAAAGGGCCATTTCTGGGGGTCTGACCCAAGTGATGGGGGGCTGCTGTGTAGGACCTGGGCGTGTCGGCGGTGCTGGGCGGGGCCTCTCCGCCCGGCCCCCGGGCTTCCAGGCCCACCAGCTGTCGTCCGAGGGCGTTCCAGCCCTTAGGCACCACGTTGGGTACGTGGATTAGGCCTAAAACTGGCCTCCGCAAGTCTCGGGTCTCCTGTGAAGAGCCCATTTATACATCATCTCTCATGTGGGCTGCTTTGCCCGGGAGCAGAGCAGTGCTAGCAATACTGACTGATGCGTTTTGCAGCGGCCTGAGTCTGACCTTCCCCACGGGTCCCAGGGCACCTCACTCCATCGCCCTGCGGACGGACTGACTGCCTGGGAGTTACAAGCTGCCGTCTGGAAACTCGGACGGCTCGCCGTGACACCCTCCCCCGCTGCGCGGGAGGGATGCGTCTGCGTGGCCCTCTGCTGAGCTCAGGCGCGGCCCTGCTGCTCTCAGGCTCAGAACCCGCGCTCGTTTATTGACAGGAAGGAAGAGGGGCTTTCCTAGGGGTGTTTCTGAGGGTACCACAGACTTGAAACAGCATGGTTTGTGCTTGTACAGTGAAACCTGGTTTGTAACAGAAAGTAGTTAGTTTGGGGTTTTTGTTAAGCTAATTTAATAATTAGTATTCTTTTAAAAAAATTTTTTTTTAAACTATTTAGTTTTAGAGAGAGGGGAAGGGAGGAAGAAACAGGGGGAGGAACATCGATGTGAAAGAGAAACGTCAGTCTGTTGCCTCCTATATGAACCCACCACCTCGGCATGTGCCTGGACCAGGAATTGAACCTGTAGCCTTTTGGTTTATGGGACGACACTCCAACCCACGGAGCCACACCAGCCAGGGCAACATTTACTGTTCTGGACATTTTCTCTCCCACCCCCTCTCATGAACTCTTTCCCTCATTGATCCATTTTCTTTTTTTCTCTTAACACATCTGGCTTCTCCCCTTCCTACCTCGTCTTCGTGACTGTGTGGACGGTGGTGGCAGTGAGCGTTCCAAATGCCCCTCAGTTCCGTCGGTCAGAGCCTTGGCCCGGCTCGGGGGGTCTTGGGCTGGCCTGGCTGCAGTCGCTCAGGCCACTGTGGTCGTCTGGCTGCTTGACTGGCGCTGGACGACCCAGGTAGCCTGTCACAGACTGGGTGGGGCGGGCGGTGCTGGGTTGCCAGCTCAGGTGCTTCGGCTGGCCACCACGGCTCCCCTCCCTCCCAGGAGGCTAGACGGGGCTTTACGAGACACAGTCCAAGAGAGGGCAGCTCGCGTATCCAAGTGCTCGCCGACCGCTTGCTCGCTTGCTGGCTTGCTGATGCTTCATCGGCAGAAGAAGTCACGTGAGCAAAGGCCACAGCCTGTGGGCGAGGAGCCTGTGCCAGGGCGGGGGTGCTGCGAACTCCCAGGGCCGATGGGGAGCGGTGGGGGAGGTCGTGCGCGGTCTAGCACAGTGGGGCCCCGGGGCGAGGGCCTTTGCTTGGCGGCTGTACCTGACAAGCTCATGCTGTAGTCTGTTCTCCTTTGCATCAGGACCCCGCTTGATGAGCGTTTATTTAGTGCTAGAAGCAGGGGGTTCAGAGAATATGGCAGTTGCTGGCTACTCTGAAGCTGGTTCCTAAAATACTCTTGATCTCACATCTTAAGCAGAAAACACCGCGTGAAGGCATGTTCCCATGGCTTTAGAAAACAAGGACGGGGACTGCTCGTGCACACCTGTGTTGGGCTGGATTTTGCTCTGAGAAAGTGCTGATAGGTCCTTGGAAACAAGGGTTGCTCTGAGGCTTGGCGCTGGCTCTGCAGGCTGCGGTGAGGTGACGCCTTCGTCACCAGGGAGACCAGGAGACGCAGCTTCCAAAGCCCTCGGAGGCTTTTGCTGCTGTTTTCCGGAATCGGCAGGGCCTGCTGGGAGGGGCTTGGGGTGGGGACAGCCCCACTAGCCACCCTTTTGAAACTTCTGGGACCCGGTACTAACTGCTTTGGATATTTCCTGCTTGGCCCTTGGTTTAAAAACAAGGGGAGACTGCGGTGCTTTTAGGTTCTTCCGAGATGTGGCTCTGATGATTGTGCTGCTGGAAGAACAGGAAATGAGGTAGTGCCTTCGGCCAAGCCCCTCACAGTGAACTGGGAGTGTCTAAATATGGGCAGCTGGGTCGCTGGCTGCTGAGCCGCTGGGTTGGGTTTTAAGATAATCGGCTGCTTCCCACATCGCCGGCTTTGGCTCTTCAGGGTAGACGGCAGAGTCCGAGCCTGGAGGCCCCTCTGCCTGCCGAGGCTGGAGCCCTGCAACTGTTGGAGGCGGGGGGTCGGGGGGCACCCCAGACGGTCAGCAAGCGCAGGCCCAGGGAGAGGCCTGGGCGCCTGGCCCGCCCCGGCCCCCGGGGGCCACGCTCACCTGCCACGTGGGTGTCCGTACGTAGGGCAGCAACTTGTGCTTTCGGGAAAGCTTGACATTACTGAATGCAGAGCCGAGGCCAGCCCGTAAAGTTTGAACTGTTCACACTTTGCAGCCATGGAAATGCAGTGTCAGTTTTTCAGTCAGTCACTTACCCATGTGGAGAATCAAAGGCAGCTGAACCACAATTGAAGAGGTGGAGAGAGAGTTTTCAAGTGCTTTACCATGGAAACAATGTGGGGCAATTTTTAAGCCTTTGGTTGACCGATGACTGTTTAAAAAGTACTATAAAATGTTGTGTAGAGAAGGCTGAGATAAAAGACCGCTTCCCATAGGTGGGGAGGGGTAATTCTTTCAAAAGTGGTGTGAATTATCTGGGGTACAGAGATGGGGGGCAACTGGATTAGGCCACTGATACACATCTTATATTAAGTTTTCAAACCAAGCGCACAATAGAATGTACACATGTTGCATTATGAAGTTGTATACTAGAAATGTACGTGTGTAATGTTATTAACCAGTGTTACTCTCATCCATTTAATCAAAAAAAAAAAAAGGAGGGTTGAGTAGGAGTGATTCTTGGAGTCCTGCCAGACGTTAAGAAGGGACCGGGGTGGGGGGTGGGAGGGTTGGGGGACTCACGGGCCTCCACAGCCCACGCTCGTGGCCGCGGGCGCCGGGCCTTCTGGGGCGCCCTTCCCGGCCCGCAGCTCTCCGCGCCGGCCCGCGAGCCGGAGTCCTGGTGTGGCTCGTGGCCCGAGGCTGGGTGTGCAGGGGGCGCGCCAGGGGAGCCGCGGGGCTGGGCCAGGGCTGCCCATCCAGTGGAAAACCACAGTAGTTGTTTTCTTTAGAAAATACGAAAATACCTAGGGGGTTATGACAACAGCAACCGCACAGCCACCTGAGCTTGGGCGGCCGTGGCAGGCCCTCCACGTGGGCAGCAGGGTGGGCGGGGGCACGGCGCAGCCCTGCCGCGGCTGTCCCTCGGGCCGGCGTCTGGGGAGCCCGCTCCTGCCGCCTGCGAACTGCGGGTCCTCACCCCCGCGGGAAGGCCAGGGACGCTGCGGGGCTTCCATGGAAGCGCTGAGCCCTTTCTGCAGGGGTGGCCCCTGCTGGGCAGAGTGTAAACATTTCCGGGGGGGGGGGGGGGCGCTCTTAGGGTCCCATTTGCTCTGAAATGTAATGATGCTTAGACACTGGTTAAGCCGTGTTTCCTTGTCCTGGAAAATTATTTTAGGCGACCTGATTTTAATTGAGGGGGAAAAAAAAAGAGTACCCATCTGAAAAAGGCGGTTCCCAACCAGTGCAGGCTGGGTCTGGCAAGGCGGCGCCCGCGCGCTCTGCCGGCCGTGTGGGCTGCAAGGTGCTGCAACGCCCACCCTGTGCGCCCAGCGGTTCGGCCTCTCAGAAGCCTCTCCTAAATAAGTCATTTCAAAAGACAGAAGCTTCGTGCACAGAGAAGGCTGTTAAACCGCATCGTTTTCCTGACATGCGGGAAACACTTTCACCCTAAAGGATGAGAAAAGTGGGATGTGAACTCCCGTCTCCCACGACTGAAAAATTTAAAATGTCTGGAGGAGAATATATAGGTGTTAATAACCCCTGTTGCTCATTGGTAGCAGGATTGCAGGCTTTTTAAACCGCATTTTTCCCGTGCCTTTTCCTGTTCCCAGTAAAGAGTTCTGGAATTAGGGGGACAGTGTCATTCTGGGGGAGCAGGGGAGCAAGGGGACAGCTGGGCATAGGGACAGGGCTGGTGAAGAACTTGCTGTGTGTGAGTGAAGGGCGGATCTTTGACTGTGGTCGTTTCTTCGGGCTGGATTTCGGCCTGGCCCCGGGAAGGCTTGCTGAGGGGTGTCAAGCGCCACCTCAGGGTGGGGCGGTCGGCTCCCCAGGGAGCGCGCCCTCCCTGAGAGACCTGCCGGCCTCGCCACCCCTCCCTGTGGGCTGGTCCGTGTTCAGTCAGTGGGAAGCCCCCCGCGGGGGGCAGGGTGACGAGGGGGCGGCGGGGGAGCCCAGCACTGAGGCCACCTCAGCACCTGGACTCGGTGCCCGGCTTCCCCTCGTTCCTCTCCCCGCGCAGAGGACAGGGAACCTGAAGCACCGGGCCTGACAGGCCACCGGGGTTAGGAGACGGGGAAGTCTGGCTTTTGTGCTGACGGTTTCCAGGTGTCCCATTTAAGGGGACATCCGGACCTCTGATTTTAATTCCAGCCTTAGCTCTCTTCCAGGGCACAAATAAAAGAACTTTCACCTGGGTAATAGAAGTCACTTCTGACTGTTTTTCTTTAGGATTCACAGATGGATTCACTGGAAAAGACAACAAACAGAAGTGAACAAAAGTCAAGGTAAATAAAGTGCACTTCACTTTGTGCAGGTTTGTAACATCCGTCACAAGCCTTCTTGTCACTCAGCTCCTGCAAAGGCGAGAGTGAGGGGAGAGCCCTGGTCAGGGCGGGGTCTCGGCCGTGTGGTCACCTTCGGCTCAGCCTCAGAAACGCCGGGAGGCACTGCCCCCGCTGCCCGAGGGAGGGGCCGTCCCTGGTCTCACCGAGCAACACGTGGCCGAGGGCCCCCGCGGCGGCTGGGGTGCCGGGCTCCGCGGTTCTGCGGGTTATAGAGCGATGCCAAGTGGGGGGCCCTCCTCCTGGGGTGGGCTGTGCTTGGTAGGTGGGGGGACACCAGCATTCTGCAGGGGTTTTATCTGTGTGGGAAGCAGGGATCATTTCGTCCTCACAGTTGCAGCTTCAAAGAATTAAAATGGCTGAGCTTTTTGCTCAGTGATAAATGTCATTTACACCTGCTCTTAATCCCGGGGCGGGGGCGGGGGTGGGGGGAGGGAGGAGGCATGCCAGGTGAGAAAGACGCAGCTGTTCCCCATCCTTTGTGGAATGAGGACAGACCAGGGGAAAGAGGGAAGAGCAGAGGCTTCTCTGCTCGGGGCTGGCCTCGGGGGAGGTGCCGCGTGTGCCGGTGCAGGCCGAACCCGGCCAGATGTGTCGCCGGCCTTCCAGGTCGTCTGTATGTCCATGTTGACTTTCACTCTCTTGCTCCCTTCTTTTTAAGTAGAAAGTTTTTAAAAAGCCTCATCCAGAAGCAGCCGCAGGAACTGCTCCTGGTGGTGGGGACAGGCGTGAGCGCGGCGGCCGCCCCTGGCATCCCCGCCCTCCGCTCCTGGAGGGGCTGCCTGGAGGCCGTCCTGGAGGCTGCGGAGCAGCTGGAGGTGCTCCACCCCGGGGATGTGGCCCGGTTCCGCAGGAAGGTGACCAAGGACCGGGACCTGCTGGTTGTGGCCCACGACCTGATCCGGAAGATGTCGCCTGTGAGTCTCGCTCAGACCAGCACTTCTGGGTCATGGGGCGGGGGCTGGCTGGGGGCCAGGCCGGCGGGCCTGTCACTCAGGCGCTTACGTTCCATCGAGCCTGCACGTGGCTCTTCTCAGCAGACACGGCTGAGGAGCCAGAAACCTTTGAGTCCCTCCGAGAGTTCCATCTCCTTAGGCCGCAGGGCCAGGGACACTGTGGGCCCTCGAACAGCCGCCTGTGTTCCCTGGAGCCCGGCTGCGTGAGACTCTGTCAGGGACGTGTCAGGCCGCTCTGGGGACGGACGTACGATTTCCTGCTGCTTATTGATGGGGGTGTCCTCAAGGTGGGCTTTGGGTCTAGGCTGGCCAGCCACATCTCTTCGGGTGACACGTGGTTCCTAGAAGCACTTTGAGATGGGGGAGGTGGTAGCGTCTTTGTCTGCAGGTGGGAACCACCTAGTGGGGAGGGGGAGCGCTCGGTGCTGCAGGAGACGAGCACAGGGTGAGGCCCTTGAGTGGGCGGTGCAGGGGTGGGGCCGGCCCCACCCAGGCGCGAGGCCAGGTGTCCATCGCACAGGCGGGCGCAGCGCGGGCGCGGGCGCAGGCCCACTTGGTGGGCTCGGGGCGGCGCTTTCCTCGTCACTCCTGTCTGCACTGAAGCGGCACAGCCTCAGCCGAGAAGCGGGCGGGGAGGGGACACTGGGGGACTCGCCCAGGAGCGAGTGTGGACGAGGGGTCGGGGGCGGCGGGGCGAGTCTGGGCCGCTGTGCAGAGGGACCCACAGCCCCAGGGAGCACGGCGGCCTGGCCCTGCTGGGGACCCGCTGCCCCCTCACTGCGGTGCTGTCCCCACCTCGCAGCCCGTGCCCCAGGTTAGGGCCCCACGCCTGCTGTGGCCGCCTCCCATGAGTGGGAAGGGCCTGCCATGGCAGTCACTTCAGTTCTCATCACATTGGCCAGTGTCACACATGGTGGCTCCCAGCTCTGCCAGGGTCTGGGAGGTGTCCCCAGCTGGGTGGCTGTCGAATGTGGGCGATGGCTAATGAGGGGCCGCTAGCCTCGCAGGTTGGCCGCCCGGCCTGCCCGCCGCCTGCCTTGTGCGTGGAGCTCCCGGGCACAGCCACGCCCCCGCGGTGCCTCGGCGCGCACGGAGGCCGCCTGCGAGGCTGGGAGTGGCTCCTTGATGGCTCTCCGTAGGCGGGGCACCGGCCCCTGTGCCAGGAGAACCGGCAGGCGTCGGGAGACCAGGGGAGGGCCACAGGGCTACGGGGCAGGCCGAGGGCCACTTGGGGGAGGGCATTTATTTGGAGGCAGGCCAGACAGGTCGCTGCTGGTTTAATCAGGGAGATGAGTACTGGGAGCTTTATTCATCTCTTCTCTTTACTTTTGCATATTTTTTGAAACTTCCATAAAAAAGAGTTACAGCGCAGCCAGCCAGGAGGGCATGCTCTCCCCACCCGCGCTGAGCAGGCCGGGAAGGTGAGGAGGTGGCGGGGAGCCGGGCTGTTTCGCTGCCAGGCTGGGGCGCTGCCGGAGCGAACTCCAGCAAAGCTGGGGGCGGGCGGGGGGCTGGAAGCCTCCCTAAGGGAGTCGCTGTCATGGTAGCTTCTAAGCTGCTTCATGGGGGGCGTGAGGGTCAAGGTCGGCAGGAGCCGTGCCCGTGGCCTGCAGGCTGTGGTGGGGTTGGCGTTGTCCTGGGGGCCTGCAGGCGCTCACGTTGGGCAGAGGGGAGGGGGAGGCTGGGCCAGTGGCTCCGGAAAGGGTTGGGCTCTTGGAAATGGTAGGGCCTGGGAGGTGGCCGGGGCTTGGTGGCCGAGCGGGGACCAGCTCACGCAGGGGAGGAGGAGTGTAGAGGCCATGGTGCAGAAAGGGCCCCCTGAATAGACCTGGAACGAGCACAGACTGCGACGAAAGGCAGCCGGAGGGCCTAGACCGCGACCGGGGCCGCCCCACCCCGGCACGGGCCCAGGGCCCTAGAGAGCAGTTGTCCGTTGGGGGCAGAGCTGAGGACGCAGATGTGGGGACTTACTGACGACACCCGCTGGGAAGCTCGGACGGGTTCAGGATGGGGGGCGGTGTCGGAAAGGGGACTGCCCAGAGCCACGGCGTGAGCGGTAACCTGGGAGTCTTGTGACAGCTGACACCCACGGGGACAGGGGTGGGTTCGGGTGCTGAGGCAGATGGCGACGGGGAGGTGGGGGGCCCCGCGTTCGTGTGGCCGCGTGGCCGCGTGGCCCACGGCATCGCCCGTCCCAGTGCGAGGGCCGAGCAAGGGGCAGCCTTCCTCGGGGTGCGTCCCCCGCAGCCATGCCCACGCCTCCGACCCCTCGCGGCAGAGCTCGGCAGAAGGGCTCGTTGCGCTTCCCTCTCCTCGCCGCCCCGGCCGGGCTCCATCCGCCAAAGCAGCTTGGCCAGGGCCACCGGTGACCCTTGGTGCCACAGCCAGAGGCCACATGCCGTCCTCACCCCGTTCGTTGCCTCTCAGTGCCTTCCACACTGCCTGCCACCTAAGTTAAGATGCTGAAAAGACACACCATTTCCTAGACCCTCAACAAAGAGAAAACCAGTGGTTTGCAGCTCTTAGAGGAAAGTCTCTCCTTTGGTCCTCAAGACCCACATCACGTGGTTCTGGGTTACCTCTCTGACCTCACCTGCTGATGTGGCCCCTCACCCTGCTTCACGAGGGCTCCTTGCTCACCTGTGTTCCTGCCTGAGCCGCTCGCTCAGTGCCCTGGCCCTGGTTCCTCCCAGGCGTACTTCCTGCAGACGCCCCTCCCTGATGCCTGCAGCCCTGCCACCCTGTGCCTGGCTGTACCTGTCCCCCCCCTTCACTTTCCCCAAAGCATTTAGCACCCTTGATGCATCACTTATGCCTCCCTCCTCTCGAGCTTAACAAACTGCGAGGGCAGCGGCCCCTGACCTCCCTCCCTCCCTCCCTCCCACATCCCCAACAGCTAGAGTGTTACCTGGGGGGTGCTCACGTTGCCGAGAAGTGGCCTTTCTTGCTAACTCCTGGACCCCTTCCTGCAGCGGACGGGCGACACCAAGCCCAACTTCTTCCAGGACTGCCTGATGGAGGTGTTTGACAGCCTGGAGCAGCACATCCAGAACCCGCTGGTGCTGCGGGCCATCCTGGGCCTGATGGAGCGGGGCACGATGGTGCTGACCACCAACTATGACAACCTGCTGGAGATCTTCGGGCAGCAGCAGAACAAGCCCATGGAGTCCTTGGATTTGAAGGACAAGACCAAGGTGTGGGCGGGGCGGTGGCGGGAGGCAGGGGCAGGGAGGGCCCCGAGCGCTGGCAGTGCTGCGGCCATGGCAGGCGAGGCACTTGCCTCACGGCGAGGGGCTGGTCACAGCATAAGGTGCCCTCAGCTCCCCGCTCCTCTCCACGGGGAAACCCAGCCCTTGCTTGGTCTGGACCTTGTGCCACCCCCTACACAGGCAGCTCCAGCGGAGGGGAACACCCTCCCTGCCCGGGACTCCTCCTCCTGCCTGCTCTTGTCTTTTGCATTCTGTCCTGCTGGTCTGGAGGGGTTTCTCATCTGCATTGACTCATTGCAGGCATTGTAGGAAGCAGCTAAGAAAGGCAAAATCATCCCCAGTCTCAGGGCTGTGATTTTTGGTTAATTCCCTTTTTTCTTTTTAAAAACAAACTGGGACTGATATATATATATATACACACATTCCTTATTTTTCCCTTAATATTATAATGTGAGCATTTTCCTGTCATTAAGCTGTTTTTATTTTCATTAAAAATTTTGAAAGGATTTTTAATTAATTTATTCACTCCTGTCTGAGGATATGTTTATTGATTTTAGAGCGCGAGGGAGCGGTGGCGCAGCCTTTCGGGGTACGGGATGACCTGCCAACGGACTGAGCCGCCTGGCCGGGATGGTTTTTATTTTTTTATTAATGTTTTGACCTCTGATATATTTATTTCGGCTTCGGTCTCGCCGTGGTTTCTTCTTTATATCCTTAACTCTGGGAGTTCTGCTCAGCGAGACCAGTGGCCCTCCCTCCAGGTTGATTGTTGTGTAACTTGGTTGTAATTTAGATGTCATGGGAGGAGGTGAGCACGGTGTTTACTCTGCCATCTTGAACTCCATTAAACTGTTTTTAAAAGCGTGATTTTAAAGGCCAGTGTAATTGTAAAAGTAAAGTATAATTGTTACCCTTCCTCTCTTACTGTTAGCTTATCTTTAGTCATAAATGATGCCACCGTGAAAATCCTTACACTTTGGTGTCTCTCTCTTTAGCGTACATTCCTAGAAGAGGTTCATGGTCAAAGGGTGTGACTTTTAAAGATAGATGATACCAGTTGTTTTCCAGAAAGGTGGCTGGTTTACAGTCCCCCCGAGCTGTGCGTGGGTGCAGGCGGACAGCGCTTCACAGGCTGGCGTTTCTCACCAGCTGAGGGCAACGCCCTCGCCAGCAGAAAGACAAGACTTGCTTTAGTGCAGGGGTCTGGAACCGAACCCGCAGGGTGTCTGAGGGTTGCCCGAATCCGCTTCCCGTATCTTGGCAACACGTGGCGTTACTAAAAGACGAAACAAAATCCATTTCACCGGTAGGATAGGTGAACATTTCACATTTTTATTTCTCTTACCAGTCAGGTTGAATGTCCTTTTATTTTAGTGCCTATGTCCTTTTATAGTATCTTCGTGTGTCTGTGTATTTGCTTGAAGACTGTGTATTATTACTGCCAGCGGATACCGCTGCCAGGTTGCCTGCCCCACTCCCTGCGGGACGGCCTCAGCCCGCCGTCCGCGGAAGCTGTCGCGAGCTTGGCTCACTCAGGCCCGAGGCAGGCGGCGCGCTCGGCTGCGCCCCGTGCGGGGGCCCCTCTCACAGAGCCTGGCTGAGAACGTGTGCCGGGCGGCCGTGCGCACACGCCCTGGAAACAGGCTGTGCTCCCCGTGCGGGCTGGCACTGTGACTGCGGAGTAGCCTCGTGGTGCAGCTGCACCTCTCTGAACAGAACACCTGCTTCCGTGCCCGAGGGACGCGGCCCACCTGGGAGGCCCGCTCACTGTCACACATGGCGTCTCTGGAAAAAAATACGAATGGCATATGGCAGAAATCTAGCTGCTCATCTGCTTGTTCTGCGTTAGAGCTGTTGGTGTCCGTCCGGTGTGTCAGCACTGCCTGCTGGGGTGTCTTTTTCAAGGACTTTTGTTCTGTATATTGAATGGAAGTCAATATAGGGCAACTGATACATTACTTTTTTCATAAAGTTTTTCTGGGCATTAAAATGCTATACACATAGCATAGTAATTGAAATATAGCAGGTAACTTAGACGTGAAAGTCCTCATAAACCCTTTAAAGTGATCGGTCTTAACAGCTTGCTGTAATCTCAGGAGTTCAAGATATTTTCTACATACCTGTCTCAGTCTTAAAGTTCTTTTTGATGTGATGTGACAGGAATAAATAGTGCTAACAGCTGAGTTACTCCTAGGTTTCAAAGGTATAATTATTAATGCAAACTTCTCTCTTTCTCTTTCCAAGTTAGGTCTGAAAAACCACGAATCCAGTTTAGACATTTCCCTCATATCCATTTTCAATAATACCATGTTTCTTTTCTTTGGGCTCGATTTTTGACAGGTCCTTCAGTGGGCAAGAGGCCACGTCAAGTACGGAGTTCTCCACATCCATGGCTTGTACACAGACCCCTGTGGAATGGTGTTGGATCCCTCAGGATATAAGGATGTCACTCAGGACCCAGAAGTGATGGTACGGCCACCGAGTTTAGCACTGCTTGTACCCCTGGGGACTCTGGGGGCAGCAGTCTCAGTGGTTTCCCGGCCCCCAGGAACTCTTGCCCTTGGGTTCGGCTGCCGGGATGGGCCTGCGCTCACAGTCAGACAGGTGCTTGGCCGATACCCCTTCACAGCTCCGGTCCCATCGACTCACCCTGCCACCAGCCATTCTGGGACTCAGCTGCTCAGGGACAGCTGAATGTCTTCAGAGTGACTTGCAGGCCCAGAGGGTTGTGATGCCGTTCGCTGGCCACTCCGCGCTCCGTGTCATCTTCCTGTGTTCATTCAGGCCTCCTGCTGTGTGAAACCCTCTCCTCTCCTCTCCCTCCTCAGCCCTCTCTCTTGCTTTCAGAACCTCGTTTTAAATTCCACTCTCTGCGAGGCTTTTTTGATACCAGAGTGAAAGTGGAGTGTGGGAACCTGCTTCCCCGCTTTTTATAAACTCCTTTGTCACAGCGCTGAGAAGCCATGGGGTCTCCGCCAGGTCCCTGTGAGCCCAGGGCTGGCACCAGCCCGTTGGTACCGGCCTGGGGCCTGTGGGACGTGGCCAGGTGTGGTGCGCAGATGGGTGGCTGAGGCTCCTCGGTGCTTCAGCGGTGAGTCCTGGGTCAGGAGACACACGAGCTGATATTGATCCTGAGACGTGGGGTGTCCGCATTGGTGGGTCTCCGTTGTAGGCCCGAGCGGCCCACCTGTGCTCACTCCCCAGGGTCCCTGTTGCCGGTCCTGCCTCAGCTTTGCTGTCCTCACTCCCCAAAACCCTATTCTCCTGACACCAGTCCCAGTGCCCCAAACGTTCCCATCCATGACCCATTGAGACGGGTTAATTCCAGGGTGTGGCCCGGGCAGTCCTGAACTGAGATGTTTACTGTCCTTATTATATGTTGTAAAATCATGCGTGACTGAGATTAGAGCGCGCGCACTCAACTGAGCGTTGGCACGCAGGGCAGGCCGCCAGCCATCCCTGCCTTGCGTTCCTGTGCCGTGGCCGGCAGGCCTGGACCAGGTATCCCGGCCAGAGAGGAAGTGGTGCTGCCTCTGTTTGTCAGTGTGGCTCTGGGCGGGGCTGCCCGCAGTGGCGACGACTCAGAAGCGCCACTAGTTCTGTGGCTTGTGGGTCGCTTGGACCCGCTGTCCGTCAGCCGAGCCGCCCGTTTCTCTGTCTGTTTCTCAGGAGGTACTTCAGAACTTGTACCGCACCAAGTCCTTCCTGTTCGTGGGCTGCGGGGAGACCCTTCGGGACCAGATATTCCAGGCGCTCTTCCTGTACTCGGTGCCGAACAAGGTGGACCTGGAGCACTACATGCTTGTGCTCAAGGAGAGCGAAGACCAGTTCTTCAAGCACCAGGCCGACATGCTGCTGCACGGTATCAAGGTCGTGTCTTACGGCACCAGTTTTGACCACTTCCCGGGGTACGTGCAAGAGCTGGCCTTGCAGATCTGCCAACAGCGGAGTCCAGGTATGGAGCCTTTTCACTTTTGTGCGTACGATACCCAAAGGGTCCTTCAGCGCCCCGCCCCACTTTTTGAGATATAATTTACATACCACAAAAGAAAATTGAGATCTTGGTTTACTTACCTTGAAATTCCCCAGTCTTTTAGTTATCTTCCAAAAATGCCGCTGTGCACTTTAAAACCGAAAGGTTGCTGTGACAGCAGGGGCCTGCGAGCAGAGGCCATGCCCGCGCGGGGCTGCGCACGGGGCTGCGCACGGGGCTCTGCCAGGCGCCGTGCGCGCTGGGGGCCGGCTCACGAAGGCAGGAGGCCCGAGCCCCGCAAGTGTCCCTTGCCTCTACGCTGCTGCAACACCGCAGGGACTCTTCTTTCAAGTCACGCCTTTTCCGGGTTCACTGAGCACGGCCCGCTGTCCAGGTGACTCTCCATGGCCCTTTTCCTGGGGATTGTTCACCTGGCAGGAGTGACCAGGACCACTGAGTGACTCTGCAGTTGGTCAGCTTTGACGTAAGGGCAGCTAATGGCTGTGGGTCGGTGTTATAAATCATGGATGACATCAACCTTGGAAAAGTCTTCATTGACTATCATTTAATGGTAACGGGACACTCACGCACACAGGGCATCGGGTTCACCACAGAAACAAACGGCTGGATGTGACCAGTGGTGACCGTGAGTGACAGACGCACAGATGGTCCACCACCTAAGTTGTTTCCCATACGTCCTTTTCATAATTAATTAGTAAAATGGGCCCATTTAAGTGGCATTTCCATTAATGAAAGTATGCTAAGGGCAGTAGTCAGTTTCTTACTAAGAGAGGAGAAGGAGCTACGCTGTGTCATATGCCTATGAATTTTACATTTGTGACCGTATTTCGTGGTCAGTCACAGTATCCACTGTGGCCAAGAGCTGACTGATAGACACTGAGAAGAGCTCGGAGGTGAATGACTTGTCCGCATGGTGCCGGGATACTTGAGGCTGGGATGGGGTCCTGGATGGGGCAGGGTGCGCCGTCCTGTTCTGGGAGTCCCGGAACGGGCCTGGGTGACGGCTCTGGAGAGGGACAGTGTCCTCGTCACCTCTGCCCTGCCACTTCTCTTGCCTCCACGCACACAAGCACCTGGGCACCGAGACTTGGTGAGCTCAGGCCCCCAGGGCCTGCTGCCGAGTGCCTTCTTGTCCCTCTCGACACCCCTCTTCCAGACCGTATAAGTCTGTGTGTCCTTAGGGACATTTGTATCTACATTCATGAGTGTCTGTGCTGGCTGGAGATGGTGGCATACAGGCAACGACAGAAATAAGTGACGGCTGGTGCCGTGCCAAGCTCCCTGTGTGCCAGGCCACCGCAGGTGCTTCGCATGTGGCCCCCGGGAGGGGGAGGAGAGGGCAGTGACCAGCTCACAGCCCCACAACATGCCAGGGCTGCGTTCAAGCTGGGTGGTGGCCTTGCTGCCTCCTCCACGCTGGCCGGTTGGGTGCATGAAGGCTCAGTCTGCTCATTGTTTTCCTTTTTTCCCAGATGCCGACCGAGTGGACAGCACCACGTTGTTGGGTAAGGCAGATGTTGAGTTTTATCAGCCTGGTTTTTGATACCAGAGTGAAAGTGGACACATTCTGTTGTCTTTCTACCACTATTTGTAACATCCTAAAAGTGTCCGCACATTAAATACTTAGCCCGTGCCCTGGCCGGTGGCTCAGTTGGTTGGAGCATTGTCCTGTACACCAAAAGGTTGGAGGTTTGATTCCCAGTCAGGGCAGGTGCCTAGGTTGCATGTTCAGTCCCTGGTTGGCGGGCGGTGGGGTGGGGTGTGGGGGGCAAACAATTGGTGTTTCTCTCATGTCGATGCTTTCTCCCTTCCTCTCTCTGAAAATAAAAAGTATATTAAAAAAAGTAAATATTTAGCCTGCTTTAACACGGCCGTGCCACAGTTGAGACACAGCAGTGCCTGTGTGACAGTCCTGGCCACAGGGAAGGGGTTGCAGGTGCCTCCCTTCCAGCAGGAAGTACAGTTTCGTCAAACACGGGCCCAAGAATAATTCCTGTCCCACAGCCAAGAATTCCAGGGGAATCAGGACCAGGTTCTGTTTTGTTAGAGCATTTGGGTTGGAGACGTTGTAACGGGGACCCCTCCCTTTCAGAAATTCTAATTGCAAAGTTTCTAAGCTTTCATATAAATTTCATTTAATCCATGTTTGAAGTATAAAATGCTTTCTCTGCTGGGCTCAACTCTGCCTGTTTCTGAGTCAATAAGGTATGGCCAAGCTTGGTGGCTTCCGGCATCCTCCTTGGGCGAACTTGGCATTGGCCTTCTCCACGCTGGTCCGTCTGTTGGTCAGAGGGGGCTTGGCTGTAGAGTGGGGTCCCTGCTGGGCTCAGTGATCCAGACATGAAACTTGCGAGTGGAGTGGGCATCAGGTCAGGTATGACAACACTTGTGCTCAGCTTGCCATGTCTGCCTGCTTCCCTGTGAAAGGACACATTCATTGTAGTTGCGCTCTCAGTCAGTGTGACCCCTAGCGCCCTCCTTTTTTTCTGAAAAAGTATTGACTAGATAGACGTCATCTGGAGTAAACCAGGCTCATACAATGCTCCATGGAGGGTGGGTTCTGGAAGAGAAACTTTTGATTTATTGTTGATTGACTGACTGATTTTAGAGAGACAGGGAGGAAAACATGGATTTATTGTTCCACGTTATTTATCCCTTCATTGGTTGCTTCTTGTATATGCCCTGACTGGGGATTGAACCTGCAGCCTTGGCGTATTGGGATGATACGCTAATCAACTGAGTTGTCCAACCAGGGCCTAGATGAGAAGCTTTTTAATGAACATCTTCATCTTTCAGGAAATGCGTGTCAGGGCTGTGCAAAGAGGAAGTTAGAAGAGAATGGAACTGAAGTCTCGAAACAACTTCGACACTCAGGTACCGAATGGAGTTCTTTCTCTCCGTTGGGAGCTTCTGCAGGTTTGCCTAACTTGTGGGTGTTGCAGCCACCGCACTTGGTTTACTCTCCTTGTCTCTGGAAGGAGTGATGCATGACACATGCTAATCAAACCACCCCGAGGGACCTACTTCTAAACATTTCTGTTCATTTAGGTTAATATGTCATTGAAAAGAGTATAGAGAAGGTGCATATTGTGAGGTCAGCCAGTGAATTTTCACAATGTGAATACATCGATGTAATCACATCCCATTCCAGACACAGAATGTTGATGGGAATCCCCCCAACTTTTCCATCACTCCCCCGTCACCCAGGGGTGACCGCTGTCCTGACTTACAACACCTTAGTCTCCAGAGAAGACCACTTTAAATCATTTGTTTTTTGCTGCCTCTATGACCAGAGATTGACTTAAACTCTTTATTTCAATAGATAACCTCTGTTGGCTCCAGGAAGGCCACCTCCCTCACTTACTTCTCCCTCTCTCTCCTCCTGCTGTGGGTCCCTCCTTGTTCTTTAAATGATGTGCTTATTCCTGCTTCCCAGTGTGAAGCTGGTTGTGATGGGCCACCCTCTTCCCCGCCCCTTCCTCATCTCATTTCCCTAAGTCATCCGTGTCGAACTCCATGGCTATGGGACTGAAGGAAATTGGCCCTCAGTCTGGCTATAGGTTGACTCCAAGCTGGAGACCAAACTCACTTTATTAAACACTGGGAATGCCCTGGCTGGTGTGGCTCAGTGAATTGAGTGCCAGCATGTGAGCCCAAGGGGTCGCTGGGTTGCCAGTTTGATTCCCAATCAGGGCACATGCCTGGGCTGCAACCCAGGCCCACCAACTGGGGATGTGTGAGAGGAAACCAATTGACGTGTCTCTCCCTCCTTTTCTCCCTCCCTTCCCCTCAAAAATAAATCTTAAAAAAAAAACCACAACAAAACAGTGGGAATATTTTCCCAGTTAGCCAGGTGTGTGTGTTAATGGGCCTATCCCAGTTTCTGTGCCAATGGCAGGACATGTTTTCATGTCAGGTGTTTCCTCACATTCCACTACTGTTCTTTTGATTGTTGCATGTTGGTGTTACCTGTGCTTTTTATTTTTTGAGGAGTTTCTAGATTTCTCTTTTCCCCTCTTGCACAAATAATACGTTTCACAGTATTTTTTAATGTATGCATTGTCCGACACATGGCCCTTCAGTTCCTGACAGGTCTTCTGACCTTCTGTTCTGCTGCTTGCTGGTCCCCTGGTCACCTTGCTGTCCCAGGTTACTGTCAGGTCTTCCTTCTCCTGCCTCCTGTACATTCTGCTGGAAGCTCCTCAGGGAGCTCCCACAGGCTGAGTCACCCAGGGATGGTGTGTCTGCAGTGTCTTTGCATGGTCCTCATACCCCATGGTTGGTTGAAATGTAGGTTTTTGGTTCGTAATGTCCCCTTGGAACTTCACTGTCTTAAGTGTCCTATTGAAGAGTCTGTTGCCAACCTGGTTCTCAGTGATTTCTAGGCAACCTGTTGCATTCCTTTCTGGAAGCTTTTAGGATCTTTTTCTGTGGTGTTTAGAAATTTCATGAGGATGTATTTAAGTGAATTCTTTTATATACCTCACTCTATTTTTCCCCCATTTCTCCAATTCTGGAATAATCTATGGTTTTCTTGATTATACCTATCTGCTCTCTCTTCTTCACACTAGTTGGGATCTCCTAGATTGATTTCCACTGTCGACTGTTTCTCTAATGTTTTAATTTTTATTTTTTCAAAATCTTTCTGAGATATCCTCAAAATTATATTCTAGCCTTTGGGTTAAGTTTTTTATTTCAACAGTGTTATTGTTAATTTCTAGGGGCTCTTGTTTTCTGGGTTATTCTTTCTCATGGTCTTATTTTATGACTGTAATATCTTTTTAAATCTTTTGAGAAACCCTAGGTACCTGACTCTATACTTCATTCCTGAAAACATTGGTATGGTGGGTTTTCAGAAACAATTTATTACTTCGTAAGGAAACTTCAGTAAAACACTCTTAAACACCGATTAGTAATCCACCAAGAATTTTTGGAGCTATGAAGCATTTACCTACTGTGCTGCTGACTTATTTAACATGTAAGGTAATTCCTCAATGGGTATGTGTGAGCCATACTATGGTATGTTTTTCCTTCTACAAGGGTCATGTACTGTTGAAATAGTCTGTTGTAGATACAGAGATTCATAATGAATGCAAATAACACGTAATCAAAGTAAGTCACAAACGTGGCAGTTAGGTAACATGGCTGCTTGCAGAGTGAGTGGTGACCCATTAGGACTGGTGGCAGGAGGAGATGGACGGGGCTGTGGCCTCTTGCTGTCTCTTGGTGGGTGGAGGGGCGGGTGTACTGGGGACCTTGTGGGAGAATGGCCGAGCTACAACTGCAACAGATTCCACAGGCACTTCCCTTGATTTTGCACAAATTTAGTGTGTTTTGTACAACTTCAGGGTATAGTCTTTAGAAGAATTCCATTGTGATAGCATTTTGTATAAATTCTTCAAAGTCTTGTAGCAAATATGTGGACTGTGAATTCAGCCAGTAGAGAAGTGTAGCTGAGTAAAAACAAACAAGACTGTGTCTTTGAGTTCTTTCCTCAGGGCGAGTCATTCTTTTCCACTGGTGTCTTCAGGGCTGGCAGGTGTTTGGAAAGGCAGGCCCAGGTGGTGGTTCTCGGAGGACAGTGGGGATTTCCGCCGCTGCTGCTGCGAGCACGCGGCTTTCCTCCTGTGGTGCGGACTTGGAGCGGGAGTGTGTGGATCAGGTGGCAGGGCTTTCTGCCTGGTGGACTCGCTGTGCAGCAGTGAGGACCCACTGGACGCCAGTGCCCACACTGGCAGCCTGCTTCTCCCCGGGCAGTTGTCTGCTTAGATAGGGCCCTTTCTTGCAGAAAGGTCTCTTTCTTGCAGAATGCTTGTCCTGTTCTGCATGTGGGTAAGAGAGACTAAGGTTCATCTTCTTGGTGCTGCTGGCCACCCCCCTGAGACTGGAGAGCTGAGGGGACCGTGGTGGACTCCCACCTGTGTGGACTGAGCTTCATCTGTCTTTGCACTTGAACAGGCTCCATTACCTGTGCTGAAACTGCCCTCTGCCCCCAGTGCCCTAAGAAGACAGAGAGCACCCATGTTTAAGGGTGGAGATTTCCAAAAATCTTTGCAAACATAATGTCCCCTGATGGTACCTACAGCGTACGTGGTCATTTCTGGACCATGGGTACTATTTCCATTATGGAGGCATGTTCTGAATTTTCAGCACAAAAGGAAAACTGGAGCAGCTTTCTGAAATAGAAAATCCTATGGCAAATACTTTTTGAAGCTGAACATTAACATTTTGATATTCATTTTTTTGTTTAAACAGATGATACTGGAGCATCTTGAAATCTTTAAAACCAATAAAACCTGCAACTTGAAAACCAGCCTTCTGTAACCACAGTGCCATACTTGAACGATGAGGAATGTTCAGAGAATTCAACATGGATCCCTCACTTCTAAATCATCATGCTCCCCAAGAGGCCCTGTTGGGGGTGTGGCCTGCAGAGGCTGGGTGGCAGTCCCATTGTGTGTGTTTAACTGCGGGGGAGGGGCGGGGTGAAGTGCACACACTTCAGGTATTCTTTGTGAGGGTGGTGGACAACTACCTCAGGGGCCCAATCAGCAGGAAGGAAGGGGCCTGGTATTCTGGGCTCCCACTTGACCCCTCCTTTGTCAAAGTGGGTTTTTCTAATAAAAAGGGGAGAGTGAAGACTGTCCAAGCAACAGTAGTTGCCAAAGAGAAAATAAAAAACTAGACTCTTAAGGTTTATAGTTTTTATGCAGAAACATGTTACTATAGAAAACACTTTTCAGGTGTGTGTGTTATATTGTTATATAGTAAAGAATATTTGAGGCACTGTATCTGCCAGTGAGAGTGGTATGACTTTTAAAAGAATGACTAGATCAATAGGGCTTCTTTGGAATTCTGTAAGTTTAGTAACTTCAGTTCCAAAGAATGACAGGTCTCACTATCCCGAGAAGCAAAGTCACTAAGAAAGAGGGAGGGCCTTTTCAAAAGTGTAGGTCAGTGTTGTGCAAATAGGTTTTGCAGCTTGTAACTGAGAATTTACAAGTGGAGCCCAGTCCAGGTTTTTAACTTTATCAATTAGAGTTTAAGTCCAAGTTTTCCAAGTCTGTCCGAGGCTGGGGAAGGTCGGCCTCTCTGTCCTCATCTCCTGACATCCTCTCCCATGGCCCCGTGAAGGGATTTGCACAGAGTGCGGCAGGTACACCTTGCAGAGGGAGGGGCCGCAGCACTGGAGCCGCCAGCACCCCATGTTTCTCAGACCCCCCTCGGGCGGGTGGCACAGACAGCTGCTGCCTGCAGTGCTCGTGCAGAGGGTTGCTCTGTGGCCATGGCAAAGGCCCTACTTGGTTTCTGTCGCAGAGGCTGCCTATTTTTATGTGATATTTCTTGCCAAGCACTATCACACTTCCTGCTGCTGGCACTGGAGCTCCCCGGAGGTATAAAGAATATGAAACAAAAGGTTGGGATGTGTAGGAAATGAGATAAGCCAGAGACCAGCGTCAGACCTTATTCTTTTCAAAGCATGAAAAACAAATCTTATATGCTACTCTGGTCATAAATAAAATTTTAACTTCAACTCTGTGTGCTCATCTTTTCCTTAGTTATGGCAAAGCTTGGTTTAATTGAGACTTTTTACCATGAGTTGTCACTCAATTGTGAAGTCAAGTAAGCAATTACTTGAATGTGTTTCAAGTTTTTAAACAGCAAACATAATTTTTAAAGACAAAGTGTAATCAGGGATGGCTATGTGAATCTGCACGCTGGCCAGACACAGGGTGTGTCAAGGACACAAGCACAGAGAAATCACAGCCAGTTCAGGACCTGCTTTGACCCATGCTGAGGAATACAGGCCTTGCTGTTACGAGTGAAGCTGTCCATAGTTAGGCTGTGACCTTTGTTTTAAAATGCAAACTTATTCCCACATGACTGATAAAGGAGAAACAATCTGAACATACCTGCTCTGCTTATGTACGGTGTTGTCCATGAGAAACACGAGGTTACGTTTTAAACAGTTATGCAGGCAAGTACCTAATGGCCTCCTTTCTGCCTCACCAAAGCCTGAACTACTTACTCTCTGGCCCTTAAAGACCTTTGCACAAGGTGGACATGGTGAATCGCATCCAGCTGAAGAGGGAGCGCTGGGTGGAGATGTGCCGACGACAAGCACGCTCGTGTGAGCCCTGCTGCCGCCAGCTCCCTCAGACTCTCCCGTCACCACCGAATCCAGCGATGCCCGCTTCACAGGCTGACTTCAGGGTGCTTTCAAGATAAAGTGCCAATATTTACTGTAGTATTTGCAGAATTCTTAACCATTTAATGTGTGTAAAACCAACTGTTATTTTTATTAGGTTCCTATCTCATTTTTCCTTTTTTGGAGCACGGTGTTCCAAACCCCATGTTTCGCCGTTTTAGGAACGGGAGGATGCTGCTTTGGAACTGACAGTCTGAGTCCAAGGTATGAGAGAGCAGCCCAGGAAGAGAGGAGGGCTGACACAGCCAGGTGGCACTGAGAGGACATTACAAAGTTAGGCTGAGGTCTTTCCAGGCAGAGGGAGTCGGGGAAATAGACAGTATTGCCAGTACTGAAACAAGGAAAAAGGGCCAGTGGAGTGGTTTCTGCTCTCCACAGTTAACAGAGGTGAGCTGGTGAAGGCAGGAAGCAAGGCTCAGGGCTTAATTTCTTGGGCATAGAGTGCATTTTGTTACAAGAAATGACGAGCGTGGTTCAAAAGCAATTCCATTACCTCAGGAGGTTACTCCTTGGTTGGTAGCACTGGGGCCCAAAGCAGTCTTAAGCAGAAGACTACCAGCACCTTTGAATGTTTTAGTCCACTCTGAAATGGAAGTAAAGTACTGTTGACAATTATGCAACTTTCTTTCCCACCTGTTAACAATAGACTTAAGAGGAGAAGTCAGCTGGGAACACCTGTGTTCATGTCCTCCCTAACATACTTAGAAAATTTTAGATTGCATTGAAGCAGTCATAATTTAATTTTGCTTTAAAATTATTTTGTTTATAAAACTGTAGATTGGAGACATTTGAAATCAGAATTTTTATTAATATTTTCATATTGACATCAGTTCCTCTGAAATAATTTCTCATAAAACCCAAATTCAACATTCTATAACTAGTATATTTAGAAACCAAGAGTATCCTTTAAGGATTACTTAAATGAACAAGGCAAGACCAAAGAGATGATGATACAGAATTCAAAATTTGGCTGGCTGGCTTTCAAAATGGAAGTTAAAACTATGCTCCCAGATTGTACCCTTGTTTTGGAAAGCTGTTGAAAGCTAACTCTCCCAAGAAACTACCTACGGGAACGAGGCCCGAACACTCCTTAATGGAAATGAGCAACAGTGTCTTTGGCTGGTAATGGTTAAGCTTTTTCTTTTTTTAAAATCCTCACCCCAAGGACCTAATTTTATTGATTTTTTTTTTTTTTTTTTTTGAGAGAGATCAATTTGAGAGAGTATCATCAATCAGTTGCCTCTGGCATGCTCCCCAGCTGGGGATTGAACCTGCAACCTAGGTATGTGCTTTGACCAGGGACCAAACAGGCAACCTTTTGGTGCACAGGACAACACTCCAACCAACCGAAACACCTGGCCAGGGCTAAGGTTTTTGTTAAAGGACACAAAGCCTGTCTTGCTTGCTCCATAGTTTGCTAATCTACAGCTATTTGAACATTAGAGTGAGAACTGAACAGTGAGGACCCTGACCACTATCTGTCTCATCTGCCCTGAGAACTGGCAGTGGCTCAAGGGCACACTGGACCCTAACGAGATTCTTGCTGTTTCCTGCTGCTTTCTTGGCCTTCAGTGTCTGGATACTGAGAAAGATCTAGGGTCAATACTCGGCTGAACATGTAGTCGTCGTGCTGAAATGGAGAGCAGACAGAAGTTAGTCTTTCTACTTAGGAAAAAGGTGTTATTCAGTGTAAAGAGCAGATAGTGAATCTGGGTTCGCATTTAAAAAGGAAATTCCTAAGAAGATATCAATTGTCTGCATTTACATCAGCTTTACTGATTTGCTTATTTTTTTGTATGATCTAGTAAAGGGCACTAGAATATTCTCCAAAATATGGCTCTTGGGTATGTGGAATTGTTTAGAGCTACTGAGAACCAACAGGTGCAGGAAAAGCTCCAAAAACTGGGCATAACTTTTACTTTTGTAAAGGAAATTTACATTTATGTACAAGATGATGCCTTCCCTATTCTTAACTTAGCAATGGGGAAGGCACCAATTTGAATATGCAGAGCAAAACCTGGCTTCTTTACCACACTTTTCCTGGTCACTGTCCCATCACCACCCTTCCCAGAAGCCCCAATCCCCTTTCCCTCCTTTTAGCCTAAGGTGGCAGAGAGGCCCATGGCCTGGCTACCCCTGCGGGTCACTCAGGCGATGCTCGTGTTCATGAACCCGTCTGCTTTTCCCTCGGTAAGCTGTCTCACCAGCCTGAGTCACAGGCCCAGCAGAGGCCCTGAGGTGGGCGGAAGGAGACTGTTTTCCTCTCCCACATGGGGTGAGGGCGCTCATTTCTCTCCTGCAGCATAGCTGCCATGGTCTCCTAACATTTTATAGGCACAGGAAGGGAAACTATTTTTTCTCTTAGCTTACAGGAAAACTCAGAAATGAAAGCCTCATTGTTCAAAAGCGCAATGATTAGAACTAGTTGCTCTACTCCATTAGCTCGAGTATTTTGAACTACTTCAGAAAGGTGTGTTCCAATTCTACAAGTTACTGTGTAACCTGTAACTTCCCGTCCATTTCTTTTAGGTTTTTTTTTTCTTCTGGTACTTTTGGAAAGTAAATGGTTCCCTGTTAGTTCTACCACAATGCATTTGTTTTTGCCTAAAACGTTCAAACATTACAGAAATAGGAACTACAATATTAAGTTTACTCTGCATAGTTAAATATGTATTATTATTTTCAAAGAAATGTTTGCAATTTTCAATTTGCTTTATCGTATCTTGTATCTCTGTGTACTGCCAAAGGAAAATGAGTACTTTTAAACCTTATTTGATTAAAAAATAATTTAAGCCTATAGCTATCAACAGCAGAAATCAAACAGTATCTACAGTCTTCGTGAGGAGCCTATGGTTGCTCATCACGTGGAAAGTGGTCTTACTCCTCCCCCCCCCACCCCCACACTCATCTTCACCTCAGGGTAGATGCCGATCAGAGCATCAGCTTTGGAATAGAACTCCTCTTTTAGGGAAATGATTATCATCTGAACCTGTTCTCGAGTTTGCTCTTTGATGTAACTTGATACCTGGGAGGAAAAAAAAAAAAGCACAGATTTCACCAGGAAGGAGAGGCCTCATTTCTGGACTCTGGGGACAGTGACTCTGCAGGTCTCAGTCTGCCCATTTTAGGTAAAGACACTTACTTGCCTTCCTGGTAATTTGGTAAACTCACTACATAGAAATAACCACAGAAATAGAAATAGTTGAGATTCTAACATAAGAGGTTAATAAAATGCAAACCTCATTAGATCTAGGATCTAAAACTTCAAGAATATTTTTAAGAATAAAATTGTTCCATCTACAATATGCTGTAAATATGCAGTCAGCCTTTATGACAAGATAAAACAAAAGCTACCACTCAGATGTTTTATGAGGGTGGAGGAGGGCTGGTGTTTAAACTTCCAACGTCCTGTTTTGCCAGCTCAAAGCCTGGAAACAGGGAAAATATGGCAATGACATATGTATCCATAATCCAGTCATTGGGTTAGAGGTGAAGTCAGTGGTTTCTTCAGGAAGGTCAATTCTAAGGAATGAGAGTAAGAACAGAATAGTCTGGATAGAAATGGGACTTAGTGAGCAAACTGCTCAGAACTTGGAAAATGATGAACTTAGACTTAAACCACAGTTTAACAAGACACTTGCCTACTCCCTGGGTCTCCCTGTGCCCAGAATGGGTCTTCTCCATGTGTTTTGGTCCTGACTGCACCCACGATACTAAGGACATAGCATTGGAAGCAGCCATGGCAAGATTCAGGTGAGGACTGAGTCCAGAGCAGAGCTGAATGATGAGAGGAGGGAAACCGCTTTTGGCCAAGAGGTTGAATTGACGGAAGGAACCCCAGCATTGGAGGCCATGGCAGTCTCTATGGTGCAGGACTATAAATCTTGGGGTACTGATGGGAGAGAAAGAGGAGAGAGGATGTAAAGATGGAAGGCATGCCTTTTGCGTGGAGAGCTACCTATGAAAAATGCCAGGCGTCCTGGTCACAAGTGGGAGTGGAGCTACTTCACAGGTGCTCGTACTACGTAAATGCTCAGACTCAGTGCGGCAATGGTGTGCCAGGAACGCACATCGCAAAGGGAAACTGGAAGCGAAGAGGTTTTTAACAGACAGGATGGAAGGCAGTAGAAAAGAGTCTTAAGTAAGACCTAGTTTCCGGAGAGGTCCTTAATACAAACATTGACATTTTGCCAGAAGATATGGGCATCCCAAGCGCCAGTGAGGAAAGATGCAGTCTTCCGAGACAGACGCCCATCGCCCTGTTACACACACACACAATATGGGATACAAAGCGCCCGGATTAAGCAAAGGGCCAA